AATCGACGATCAATTGTGTCTGTGTGTTCTTTTCCTGGTCCTGGAGCTTCCCGCGTGGCCCTTCTCGGCCTCCCCATGGCCCCCCCAGCGGGCCCTCCGCGGGGGGGCCCGCCCACACACCACGGCGCAGCGCGCAGCACGGGGGCCCTCGGGCCCGCCCCTCCCCCCTCCCCCCCGCCCTCCCTCGGGGGAACGAAGAATGACACTGGCCATCGCTCGGACGTCCATTCCCTGTGTTTTTTGTCGGTTTCGTGCGTGGTTCTTTCGCCAAATGATCAAGGATGCTCCTCGATGGTCCTCGCCGAGAAAAAAACAAAAAAAACACGTCCGAGCGATGCCAAGGACATAAACATCAGAACTCGGAGGTCCGCGCGGGTTTCTCGGATCCGCACTGGGCCCTCCCTCCCTGACGCGCGCAGCGCGCCAGCGCCGCCAGGGGGGCTTGGCGCGGATCCGAGAAATCCGCGCGGACCTCCGAGTTCTTATGTTTTATGTCATTCTTCGTTCCCCTACTCCTTCCCTCCGCCCAGTCGGTGCCTCAAGTTTGCGACAGTGGAGATTCCATTTGACCTCAGACGAGGAAGCCTTGGACGTGCCCGCCTGCATGTGCATTCAATGTCCCACGCACCCCCCGGTGTATGACTGCAATGGTGGTGGTTCGGGAATCTCCTGACTCGGGTCAATCCAGATCCGGGTCAGTCAGGCCTTGCAGAATCCTGCAAGATCCTGCGCCCAAGCCCGGGTCCATGCGAAGGATCCCGACCCTGCACGATCCCTGAAGGATCCTGCGCCCAAGCCCGGGTCAACGCGACCCTGGCCCTGCAGGATCCTGCAAGATCGGGCGCTCTGGCTGCTCCTCCTCCTCCTCCTCCTCCTCCTGCTCCTCCTCCTCCTCCTCCTCCTCCTCCTCCTCCTCCGGTTGCACTGACCACCGTCTCAAGGCTCCCGACGGTGGTCGGTCTGCGAGGGTCCCCAGGGCTTATGTTGCCACCATCGTACTTGAAGACCACATCCCAGAAATAAGTTCGAGCACCCAGAAAAGCGAGGATCGTGGCCTCCGAGGGGGGGGCTGCCAACGACTACCCCCCCCCCCGCCCCAAGGGGCCCCCAGGAGCCCCCCAAGAGGCCCCAGGGGAGCCCAATACGCCGCCAGGGAGCCCCAAGACGCTCCCAAGAAGCCCCCAAGAAGCCCCCAAGAGGCCCCAAATAGCGCTCCAGGGCCGGCGGAATGAGCGAAGCGATAAATAATTTCGAGCACCCAGAAAAATATCGAAACACGGTCGAGCGAGTGTCGCCTCGCAGGGCCCGGCACGTGACAAGCCTCCAGTTGCGGTGCGTTCTTGGTGCTCGAAACTCTTTCTGGTGGTTCGGGCTGATGTAGGTCGGAACGTCCTAACCCTGGGAGAGGCCTGGGCTCCTTCCTTGGCAGAACGGCAGCAAGCAGGCATCCGTATGCGCGCGGCGGCATGCACATGGGGGCGAGCGCAAGCGCCGCCGTGCCTCGCGCACGGGGCGAGGTCGTCCGTCGCGCGTCGCGACGCGTGCGGGCGGAAGCGGGGGCGCGTGCGCGGGAGGGAGGCAGAACACGGAGCAGGGAACAACTAGCGGGAGGCAGGGACGAGAGCGGAGGCGGAGGCAGGAGCGTGAGGCTTCTGGGGAGGCGGAACTTGCTGCTGACGACCGCGACGTTGAGCCGAAGGAGGCGGAGGAGGAGGAGGAGGAGGAGGAGGATGAGGGAGGAGGAGCGGCACGAGGATGACGGATGTGGTTAGGGTGTGGTGTGGGGGAGGAGCAGGAGGAAATGAAGAGGCGGTGGAGGGGGAGGCGCCGGGGGCGCGTGAGAGAGTGGGAGCCGGAGAGAAAGCCATTCAGCAACCAAATTGTCATCTGGCTTTGCCTAATGGTCACCGCTGCTCTGGTGCAAGGGCAAGAAAGCGGCTCACAGAGCCGACAAGTCGAATACCTAGTTTACGAGGGGCTGCGCAAAAGGCGTGCGCAGGCGAGCACGTGCAAACGTGCCAGCTGTTCGGCCACGAGCTCCCAACATCAGCCTCCAGCAGCTGCTTTCTGCGCACAGCGAGACCTCGCTGTGCCCTTCCATTCATCAATCCCTTCCTGAAGCCCCGATGCTGCAATCGCTTCTGCCCCGATGCAGAGTGCCACCCTTCCCCGCTCTGCATGCGCGCTCCTTTCTCGGCGTCGTCTGTCGGAGGACTCCGAAGCTCTCACTGAGGGACAGGCGCTGATGAGGGGCAGGGCCGGGAGTCGAAGCGGAGGTCGGGCACACGAATGGGCGAGAATCGAAGGCCCGCTCTGCGAATTAGACGAAGCCAGGGTGAAGACAGATCCAAATGAAGAGTGTTGAGCAGGGACCGACCGTTCCGGCATTCCTATAGTCATACCACGAAATGTTCTTAGAACGCCAGAATGTTCTAATATCAAAAACAATGACCTTAGAACATAAACCCGATGTGTTAAAACAAGACAGTCCAAGCCAGAAATGTTCTAAGAACATTTCCTGGAAACCACCAACAATTCTTAGAACACTGTTTGGTATGGCTATAGGCGAGCCGGGACGCTTCGCCACTGCTTGAGGGTGAAGACGAATCCAAGTGAAGAGTGGGGAGCTCTCAGAGCCGGCGGCCGCCCGGGCGGCTCTGAGAGACGCCTCGGTCAGAAAGCAACCCACGCCAAAGTCTAGTCGTCCCCATGGCGCGCAGTGGCGGACCCAATCGCGCGTAAAGCGGACAGATTGCGTCTTCCTCACATGGCGTTATTGGGCGCTGTTGGTCAACATTGGCACTCATTGGACGCTATTCCACGCGCCACCGGGCGCTGTTGGTTGGACGCTCTCGGGTGCTATTCGCCGACGTACCTTCTATCCAAGGCGATCGGGAACTCCCGTGTTTTCTGTCTGAAATCGGGCGCCACTGTCGTTCCACTGGGCTTCGCAGCGCTGCGAGAGCGTTCCCGAGCGCTCTGGGGCGGCTGTGGCCATCCAAGCCCGCCCGCGTGCGCCGATCTCTTGGCGAGACCCGGCGGTGGCCGCAGCGGCACAGAGAGGGTGCCACGGCCGAAGACGGAGCAACATTGACAGCACGTGCTTGGGCAGGAGAACCCAGGATCGAATCGACAAATCGGACCGGCGATCGAAACGAATCGGATCGGCGGAAATCGGCAGCCGAGTCGGGAAAAGTCGGATCGGCGGGAATCGGCAGGTTAGTAGGCCTCCATTGAGGAATCGGCATCAAGATCGGAGTCTGAAGCCGAATCGAATCGGAATCGCATGTCACCGAGATCGAATCGAATCGAATCGGAGGAATCGAAATGAACCCTGCAACTTGGGCGTGGATGCGATGAGCGCGCGGATGACGATGACCGCGCGCGTTGCGGAGCTGGTTGGCCGCGCGGGAGCCCGACGAGCGGACAGTGTTGGTGAACGACGGCAGCGCGCGGCTCTCGAACCAGGTGCGCTCCTCCGCGGAGCGAGGGACGCCCGAGCGACGACCTGTCGGGCATAGGACTCTGGCAACGGCGAAGTGGCCGTGCTCACCGAGGGACCCCAGATGTTCGTGCAATCACACGCAGACTTGGCGTACATCGTGGTCTGCCAAGAGGGCGGCAGCTGGAGACCCCCCCCTGCGTGTCCCTCCTCCCTGCACCGTCGCTTCCTCCTCCTCCTCCTCCTCCTCGTCCTGACATCTCGCACTGGCGCCACCCGCCCAACCAACAAGAGTCTGGCGCCACTGGCGCCGTCGAACCACTGCTCAAAACGAATACTGGGAATCCTAGTCGATGGTCGCCGCCAACCCGTCTTACAACTTCCATGATTGAAGCTCGCGGAGCTCGAAGAGACAACAGATGCAACACATGATACGATGCAATCCCATCCGCGCCCACTGAGGACAGCGGCTGCAGACAATGCAACGATTACAACGGAGGCTTCTCACATCGGGCCAGATCTGATGGGATCCGAGGAGCGCGCCGTATCGCCAATGCTAAAGAAGAACAAACTGCATAAACATGAACTTTTGGCGCTCCGCGCAGATTTCTTGGACCTGCGCTGGGCCAAGGATGGAGACGAGCTCGATGTTCTACGTTTTGTTCCTCCCGTAAATTCGACATGAATTTCAATTCTGGGGTAACTCAATTCTGTCATCGATCCCCTACTCGAAGAACGGGCCGTATCGACAGTGCGTCCGCTGTGCGGTGCTAGGTCCTCCGACCACCCCGCTGCTCCGCCCCCACTGGGCAGGCGTGGGTACAGATGGGAGTCATGTCCAGAGTGGGTCGTCGCCGGCCATGCTTAGCTCAACAATCGAAACCATCGAACGGCAATGCAATGCTGAGGAACATTCTGGAGGCCTCGCGCGGCAACTTGAAACCCAATAAACGTCGGATCCACGTCGGATTTGCATCGGAACGTCGCCGAGCGAACGCCGTCCCAGATCTGACGGGCGGGCGTGTGGTCTGGATGTTGCAACTGTTGCGCGCCGCGCGAGGCCTCAATGAGGCTCCTCTTAGTAATGCATAAGATTCATGTCGCTGCGTCGCCCTTCTTCCATCTACTGTGTTGGCTCCCGAGACGCCGCCCCCTTCCCCTCGAATCCGGGGCCAACCATCCTTCGGCTAGGGCACATTCGTCTCAACGAGCGAGCGCATTTGAGAAGGCTTCTGCTCCTTCCAGAAGCACGCCCATTCAACTTCTGAAGGTTCAACTGCAATGCGCCCGACCTAGAACATAATAACATCCCTCAAGAACACGTGACCCTCCGCCAGCCAAACGGAAGAACATTAGAGGGTACCCTCCCACAGGATGCACAAGAACATTCAGCAAATACGAAAAACATTAGGGTACCCTCTCCGAACCGACCTCGATCTTATACCTCGGTCCGACCGTATTGGAAGAGCGAAGGCAGGAGGTGGAGAGATGTGAAGAGAGCCAACAGACCCCGCCCAGCGCGGAACGCCGGAAGCCCGCCGGCGATCGCTGCTGCGGCTCAGTGCCTGGTGTCGCCGTAGGCGACTCCTCTGGACAGCGCTGAGCCGTAGCCTGCATTTCGGGGGGGGGGATTGAGAGAGAGAGAGAGAGACAGAGACAGAGAGAAACAAAAAAAAAACTCGGAAGAAGAAAAGGCATCCATACCGCTGCCCTTCCCTTGATTTCCCCTTCTTGGGCCTCCTGGGAGGCCCGTCGCCACCGCTGGATTCGCCCCGAAATTCTGGCCAGAACGCACCTTCGGGAGATGTCTGGGGAGTGGCGGTATTGGTACATCTGGTTTCCCCAGGAACGCCAAATGTTTCAAACCGCTGCGCCTTGTTGCGATTCTGCCTCACTCAGGAGAGACACTCGTACCACTGCCACCAGCTAGGAGGGTGGCCGCTCCCTCCCCTCGAGCTGGTGGCACCTTCTTCCGGGACCTCTCTGGAGGCATGCCCGGAACGAGGTGCCACCAGCTCGAGACGGTGGGACAGCCACCTCACAAGCTGGTGGTGGTGGTGGTACTTCTGTCTCTGGGGTTATGTTGCTCCCATCGTACTTAAGGACCACATCCCAGAAACAATTTCGAGCACCCGGAAAAGTGTCGAAAGAGTGTCGAAACAGTGTCGGAGGAGCGTCTCCCAGGGCCCGACACGCGAAAACCCTAGAGTTTCGGTACTTGTTTCTGGTGCTCGAGATTGCTTCTGGCGATCAAGGCTGAAGTAGGTTGGAACCTCATAGCTCTGGGGGCGCATCGACATGCTGCCTCTGCCTGTCGCCACCGGCATTGCCCGACGACATCGGCCTGCGCCCCCGCAGCCATCAAGCCAAAAGCGGCGACGGCGGCAAGCACACATCATGACCTGCCGCGCCTCGCCGCAGCAGCAGCAGCAGCAGCCAAAGGAGGGCAAGGGACACAGACACGCGAAGCTCATAGACTTAGGTCGGGCCTGTCCCCCTACAGGCTGATTTTGGACGAAAAATCAAGAATACACCCAAAATGCACCAACAATACACAACATAATTGTCAACAAATCGTCCCCATACTATGTTTTTTTACTGTTTTGAATATTCCCCCTGTAGAGGGACAGGCCCGACTTACACATAGACGGTGTGTGCTCGCCCATTTGTTCGGGAGAACACTGCCGCCCATCTCTTGCGAGCTCTGTCACCGTGCCTCGAGGCACCGAGTGGAGTATCCTCAGGGCTCCCACGAGTTATCGACATTGATGCTTCAGCTGCTCTTCAGATACCCTTGGCCTGTACGGTTGTCTGAGCGCTCTTGGGCGCTGCCCCGCGCTCTCGCAGCTCCCCGCGTGTGACTGCTTCGGAGCCCCGGGGATCGTCGTTGGCAAACCAGGAAATATTCCAACATGCCCCGATATTGCTTCAGGGGCCCGCCTGGGAGTTGACCCAGGAGGCCACACAGCGTCAAGGACCATTGGTTGTTGGTATGATGTAGCATGATTGCTTTTCCTGTTTCCGTCTTGAGAGCGTGCACGACGGTCCAAGTGGCTTCCAATATCGCCCCAAGGGGGGCCCAAGCGGCCACCACCAGAGCGAAGCAAGCAACACACGTTTGACGGTATGATATATGCTCAAAAATAGCAAGAAGTCGTCCCAAGACTATTGTTTTTCTACTGTTCGATATTCCCCTCGTGGAGGGACATGCCCGACTTACTCTACCTGACCACAGAGCATCGACCCAACTTGGCTGACTCCACAAAACGAATGAAACAACAAAAACAACGAAGGAAGTACCCGCCACCATGTCGAAGCAAGAAGGCCGCGCGAGCCTCGCAAGTCGCGGCGTCGAATCACATTCGGAGCAACGCCGATGTGAAGATCTATGGTGTGCGCGGACCAGTCAAGCAAATACGGATACTCCAGAGCAGCGCAAAGTGTCTCCAAGGATTCCGGCTCCACTGCTCTATGCAGAATATAACAGCTGCCTGCAATACTCGAAGATTCACGCCGCCAACTCTTACGCATAGGGCCACACACGCCTGCATAAAACCGAAGACAATGCTGACTTCTGCTTTTGGCGTACTCCTCGTTACCGCCACTGATTACACGGCCCTGAACGATAAATCATAGCATCGACGATCTTTCTCTGCTGGATCGGCCGCTCCCGCAGTGGAGGAATCGACTCTATAGTCTGGAACCGAAGCGTCTGTAAGCACGACCTTGCGACCGCCGCGTACGTCAAGTTCCTGCCTTGTCGACGCGGGCCCTGGTTCCTGACCCCGCGCGAGCTGCTCAATTTTGGAACGAGTATCAGAACAAAAACGCTATAAACATAAACTGTTGGCGCTCCGGGCGGATTTCTTGGATCTGCGCTGGACCCCCTCCCTGGCGCGCGGAGCGCGCCAGGGGCGGCGCCGGAGGCGCCGCTGGGGGGGCCCAGCGCGGATCCAAGAAATCCGCGCGGAGCGCCAACAAAATTATGTTTATGGTGTTTTTTTCTACTTCGTCGGAAGTACACGAATCAATTCCCCGCATGGACTTCGCATCGTGGGCGGCTTTCCGTGACCCCGGCCTGGGCCACAAACAGACGGCCCCCCCAGAGCCCGCCAGGCATCAGCATGATTTTTTGTTCGGAGGTCTGCGCGGCATTCTCGGATCGGCGCCAGGACAAGAAGACGCCAAGAGGAGCATGAGCTGGGGTGAGGATAAATCGAGAATCTCCTAGACCCGGCGGCTCTGGAGGATGTTTCGGGCGCCGTGGCCTTCTCAAAGCGTTCCGCTCTGGAGCGGGTTTATCCTCGTCCCAGCCCTGTCCGATGGACCCCCCTCCCTGGCGCGCGGAGCCCGCCACGGGCGTCGCTAAAGGCGCCGATCCCAAGAAATCCGCGCGGATCTCTGACAATTTTCGTTGATGTTGTCTTTTCTTATTCTTGTCCCGCTTCTTCTTCTTCTTCTGTTTTTCCTTCTTCTTCTTCGAATCATTACCGGTCCGATGTCAAGGGAGGAAAAACCACCCGACCACCCTAATTGGCATTAACTCTACGGCCCTGGGCGTTTATTCGACAGCCCTGCCCTGTTCGATTCTTTCCTCGGGTGCGTTTGCTAAGCGCCTTTGCTGGTCGGGGTGTTGATTCTGGGGGTGTTTTTTTCTGCTATCCACGATCGAGGGCAACGAATCCACCCCCATCCATAGTAATCACCCCGACACGCGAAGCTGTTTACTAAACGCCCCACTGAAGGAATCGAGCAAGGCAGGGCTGTTTAATAAACGCCCAAGGCCGTTTAGTATACGCCAATTGTACGGTCCGGGTGGCTTTTCCTCCCTTCAAACGAAGCGTGCCTTGCTGCTCCTCCTTCCCCGCAGGGAGCCTTCGCGCGAGCGAGGCACGATGGGCTTGAGCTGCCGCACGCGCTCGCCGAACTGCGCGAAATCTTCGTTGCGCGGCTGGGCGATCTGGGCGGCCGCCGCGGCTTGCTCACCGTCGAGCGAGAGCGGGTGGGCCGAGGAAGGATTAAAAGCAGAAGAAACATATAAACATAAACTTCAGTGAAAGGGCCCAAAGACACACAAATAAATACACAAAAAAACATATTCCGAATATTTTCTCTCATTTTTTTTTGTTTTCCCAACCATCCTGTGTTGTGGGGTACTCGTTTTGAAGGGACGGTGCGGCGCGTCTCCTCCTTCCTCCTTCCTCCTCCCTTCCTCCTCCTCATCCTCCTCCCTGCGTTTCACCCACCCAATACAGCGCTTCGTGGCCCCATAGGGAGCTCCACTTACGGTCCCAGTGGCGGAGCTCGCATGGCGGCCTCGGGCCATTTCGGCACACCCCTCACACGTTTCGTGGCCCCATAGGGAGCTCCACCTAAGGTCCCAGTGGCGGAACTCGCATGGCGGCCTCGGGCCATGTCGGCACACCCCTCACACGCTTCGTGGCCCCATAGGGAGCTCCACCTAAGGTCCCAGTGGCGGAACTCGCATGGCGGCCTCGGGCCATGTCGGCACACCCCTCACACGTTTCGTGGCCCCATAGGGAGCTCCACCTAAGGTCCCAGCGGCGGAAGTCGCATGGCTGCCCTGGGCCATTTCGGCACACGCCTCATGCGTTTCGTGGCCCCATATGGAGCTCTAAGGTCCCAGTGGCGAAACTTGCATGGCGGTCTCGGGCCATTTCGGCACACCCCTCACACGCTTCGCGGCCCCACGGGGACACCATTTAAATTCCCAGTGGCGGAACTCGCATGGCGGCCTCGGGCCATTTCGGCGCACCCCTCCCCAGTGGCAGGGTTGGCGGCCTCGGGCTTTCGGCACGCCCCTCGCGAGGATCGTGGCCGAGCTCCACCGATGGCGCCAGTGACAGGGTTCGCGTGGCGGCCTCGGGCCATTTCGGCACACCCCGTCACTCGTGGCCCATAGGGACCTCCACCGAAGGCCCCAACGGCAGGGTTCGCATAGCGGCCTCGGGCCATTTCGGCACACCCCTCACGAGGATCGTGGCCCCATAGGAGCTCCACCGAAGGCGCCAATGGCAGCTTCCTCGTGGCTCTCAGAGCCCTCTCCTGCTTCTGCTCCTCGGTCAGAAGGGGCGCCGCCCTCGCCGTCGTCGGCGCTTGCGAAGACGGCCGCGAACGTGTCCCTGAGCATGTCGGGCTCCGGTGGGGAGCCGTGGCCACATAGGGAGCGTGGGCGGAAATGGTATTCACAGTTGCGGTATTCACAACTGCGTATGGTTGGGTCTTTTGCCAAGCTAATGGATTTCCGTCTTCCCCCCCCACACCTCCGACATATTCGAATATTTTCTGGGGGGTCGACGATTAATCGTGTCTGTGTGCTTTTCCCTTCCTGATTTTGGCGTTCCGCGCAGATTTCTTGGATCCACGCTGGCCCCCCTCCCTGCCGGGGGGGCCCAGCGCGCACTCAGGAAATCCGCGCAGGGCGCCAACAGTTTCAGTTTGTGCAGCGTTTCCTTCTTCAGAAACCCTTCGTGTCGGGGGAAAAACTTGTTGGTCGCAGCGGCGCGGGCTTTCAAGCCGCGGTCGGAGGCAGACGAAGGGCACCACGGGGCCCCATTGGGTACAGCGGGGGCAGGAAGCAGGAAGGGCGTGTGCGGGGGCAAGAGGAACCCGCGGGCGGCGGAACACGCTCATACACAAGCGCGTCCCACTACTCGCAAAGTAGCTACTCGCAAATGGCTAGGATTCGCCACAGGAGATCTACGATATATTACACAAAGACAGGCGTATGGCTTTCTAGCGTTTGCGAGTAACCACTTTGCGAGTGGCTCGGCGAGCTCCGAGCATGTAGTTCTTGCGCGTGTGTGCGGGAGCACAGGCCTGCACAGCAGGAGGATGTCGAAGACGTCCAAGGTAGTGAGTGGCACACTGACCCAGGGAGCGGGGGCACCAGGGTCGGCGGTGCGGTGGCAAATGACTTATGCGAAGGACAGTCCATTGTCAAGGCCAGCCCAAGAGTCAGGGAAGCGACCACCAGCCGGGTCAAAAGCACGACGGCATCCTGTGGCAAGTTTTGGCTCCGGGGGCCTTCGTCGGGCCCGGGGGCCGGAGAGCGAGAAAGAACAGTACAGTACAGTTGGGGCGATATCAGCCCAAAAGCTCGGCAGCGCATTGGCCACACGAAGACACCATTCACAAGAACTCATTCACAAGACAACGCTCAGCGAGAGCACCGCTGCGCTGCAAGTTTAGCTCCGTCCTGGGGAATGGGTCGAGACCTGTGGGGGTCCACGCTGCGAGACAGGTCGCAGCGTCGAGGGCCCGGTCTGGCGGAGGGGTCCACGAAGGACCCCTCGATGCCGAGCTGAAGCGATGCCTCGGACCCGCCGCGCCGTCGGCGTCCGTGGAAGGGCAGGCTGCTCGTGTCTGGGTGGAAGCGAGCGGGAGGCGACAGGCGCTTGCAACGCGCACCGAAGGGGGATGCCCCCGAGAGCGGGGCGGGTCTTCTTGGGAGCCCCCCTCTGCCCTCTTGGAAGGCCGCCCCCGTCGCGTCGGCACCTCCTCGGGTGCGCCGCCGGGGGCGGGGAGAGAAAGAGGGAGAGCTGCGCGCGAGTGCTGGTCGTGGGCAGTCGAAGCAGCGATCCATGCCCTCCAGTGTTCTCATGGGCCGGGGGGCTCGGAGGCGGGCGCGCTGTGGGAAGAGAGAGGGACTGCACATCAAGGAGGAGGGCGTGGATGGGGATGAAGAGAAGTGAAAGCTATCGCTGCGGTGCGAGATGGATCTAACGTAACTGCTGACACATTCCGCACGAGGGGCCATCTTGATATGCAGTTGTTAATCACCTCTGGATCTACAGAACGAGCGTGTCGCGGTCTCACGACAGCGGGCATCAATCAGAGCCGATATATTCACAGTGGGGGAAGTGCGGGCCCAAGAGGGGTCGAAAGGCGGGTCCTGTAATCATTTCGCCGCTTCCTCGATCTGCGACTGGATATGCAGAAAGAATGGTGCCCAGGATGCACGGAGGTCCCATGGCACATGGCGCCAATAATTGCGAGCCACGACGTGAGTATGCATGGGTTGCCAGGGAACCATACACGCTTCATCCACACATTACTACATCTGTCTGGGTCCGACCCAACATGATGGGACGTATAAACACGAAGAACTGATGCAAAAACCACCCTGGAGATGACACTGAACGGAATCCGAAGACGAAGCTGCGTGCCGAATCGTCCAGATCTCTCGGCCCTTGTCCACAGCGCGACACATAGGAGCAAGGACACACGACACCACTGCCTCCTCCAGAGGCAAGTGCCAAGCGGGGTCATCGTGGTGGCATGGACCCCCTGCCAGCGCCCAGCTCGGGAAGGCTTCGTGGGCCTCCTTGCTCGAGGTGTCCCCCCCCCCGGGGTGCTGTCGCTTCCCCCTCTTCCTCCTCCTCCTCCTCCTCCTCCTCCTCCTACTCCTCCTCCTCCTCCTCCTCCTCCTCCAACTCATGCTGACCTACGTACTGCTGGCGCGAGAACCGTTCTCTCCTCAACGAGCTCGACTGTGGGACCAGCAATGCGGCCGTCTGAGGCGAGCCGCGGCCGCTCCGGACAGGAGACGCGCGGCCACGGGCAAGCCACGGGGGGGGCCCTGGGCAAACACGCGCCTGCCGGTCTGCGGAGTACACTGACAGGTTGCCCTGGCTGTCGCCGGTGGCCTCTAGCGTGCATCCTCCTCCTCCTCCTCCTCCTCCTCCTCCACCTCCCTAGGAGGAATATGCCAGAGCTGGGGAACAAGCAAACACGTAATGCCTGCGGATGTCCTCCAAAAGAGCTGGAAGTAGCATCGCTGGATCAGGGTGAGGGGCGGGGGGGTGGTCGGCAGTCTGCGAGGCTCGAAAACACGTTCGACGAAGACCGCCGCAAGCACCGCTTTTTCAACACATTGCGCATCGAGCCCGCCGCAAACGCCAATACTTCTGTCAAAACCATGTGGCTGGGTCGCGGGTAGGTCGCGGGGTGTGTCGCCAGGCGGGTCGCAGGTGGGTCGCGGGCGAGTGATGTGCTGATTGTTTCAAGACGGCCCCCAAACATTTTAACTAAGCATTTCCCCCATGGCTGGCTTCTCATGCCGAGTGGTGTTTGATTATCCAGGGGCTCGATGAGGGCCCGAAGGACCGAAAACGGCGACCAACATCCGTCTTGTCATTTCCCGACCAGTGGTGTCTGGGTCCAAAACGAAGGGGACCGAAGGATGCCCCTTGGACCTCGCAGGTCTCCTGGGAGGCTGCCAACTGCGCGACTGTCGCCACGTTCGTTGGCTCCTGCGAGGTCCAGCGGAGCGGAGGTGTACGCAGATCCAACTGAGACCTCGCAGCTCTCCTGGGGGGCTCCCAACTGCGCAAATGTCGCAACTTTCGTGGGCACCTGGGATGTCCAACGAAGCGGAGGCGTACGCGGATCAAGACGAGACCTCCCGGCTCCCCTGGGCGGCTTTCGCGGACTCCGCGGAGTTCCAGCGGAGCGGAGGTGCGCGCTGATCCAGACGAGACCTCGCGGCTGCAGTGGGTGCGCTCGTCGTTGCCATCCCCTTACGGCCTGAGTTGCGAGGGCGCGGTGCGAGAGGAAGGGGGCGTCGAGCGGGGTCCGACGTTGTTCTGCGAAGCGTTCAAAGGGTGCTGCAGATCTCACAGCATGCTTTTGTGACTTTGATGGGGCGCCCCTGTTGACAGCCGCCTCGCCTTGCAATTAGAAAGGCTAGGGTACGTCTCGGGTGCTTTGCCTGAGGAGTGTGGCCTCCTCCGCTCAGATCGGGCGCGCGCCGAAGAGGGGGCCGGGAAGAGGGGGGGAGGGTAACGCATCATGGCCCGATGCACTTGCGCGGATGGAGAGAGGGGGGGGGCAGGTGGCGCATTGAAAGAAGAATGCGAGCAAAATATTAAGACAAATAATACTGCGACGAATGAGACGATACGGCGAATCATACTCATGACAGTTTAAGGAGAAGACCACGAAGCAGAAGAAGAGCCCATGAAAAATGTAACACTGCATGGCCCCAACCATTATAGCCATATGCATACACAAATATCAATACGCATGCCCTCTCACACACACGCACACGCAAGCCACAATCAGACCTCCGTATCGCGACACAAAAACCACGGCCGGTTCGTTTCGTTTTCGGTCCCTAGGGGCCGTCTCCCGGCCCCAGGGCCTTCCAAACACGACGCGTGATGGAAAGCTGGCCACAGGGAAGGGGCCGAGATCCTTGGGGTCTTGCGTCACGACGTCGGTAGAAAGGATCTGGGGGGCCAATTCTGGGGTTGGCCTTCTCCATCGAGGATCGAATCTTGATGCTCTAAGATCGAACGTCTCCTCCTCCTCCTCCTCATCCGCGTCCCCCCGCATCATCTCAACGTCGTCGTCGTCGTCGTCGTCGTCGTCGTCGTCGTCGTCTGTCTCCCGTCCCTCCTGCAGGGCCCAGCTTCGGCCAGGAGAGAGCGACTGGTCGAGTAACCACGCTGCCGCGCACTTGCGATTTGGACACCTGGTGCCATGGCCTGTCACTCACCCCCACCACAATCGCACGACCTGTTCGAACGGATCAAGTGTATGCCAGTAGTGTTAGGTCGGGCATGTCCCCCTACGGGCGGATTTTGGGCGAAAAATGAAAAGCACCCCAAAAATGCCCAAACCATGCTCAAAAATAGTCAAAAATAGTCCTCAGACTATCTCTGTACTATTTTTGAATATTCCCCCTGTAGAGGGACGTGCCCGACTTAACAGTAGTGTAGGTAATCATGCTGATTGATGGTCGATCGCAAGGAAGCCTCGACTCATGGCGCCATCAGGCTCGGCCGCTCGTGCGGTTGGCGATCGCACGCCGTACGCCGAAGGCCACAGCATCGACGGCCACTGCGACCTCGACCGGGGCGGATCGAGGCCGGCGGGGTGTGAAGGCAGGCGCCCACTGGAATCCGCAGGAGACCGTACCCTTCAGCGGGCTTTAAGGCGCGAATGGGGAAGCAGTATCGCCCTGGAAAGCCAGGCCAACCGCTATCGTCTCTGGCGCACTTTCTGGGCTAAGGCAGGTTTGTGTCGTGACGAGCCCAACGCTGGTTTCTGACACCGCGTGGATCGTTCAGCCTTGACCTCCACAGATCGACGGCCTTTCGATCGCCAGATCGCTCCACATTGGCTGGTTCTGGGCCACTGGCGGCATCTTACCTTGAAGGCAAACGGTAGGGTCGTTGCCGCGCTGGCACGACACGACCCTACCGTACTGTTCTCCATGCCTTGGCCGCTGTGGAATAGCTGATGCATGTCAGCATGGGCCGACATCTGGGCTTTCGTATCAACCTTCGCTTTTTGATTGGAAACGCGCGCGAATACGCTGGGCCCGGGAAGTGAGACCAGCAACAAGCCTTGAGAAACAAGGCCGATTGCTTGATCCAATGCCCAGGGGAGTTCATCCGCCAATCAGAGGCACCCTCGCCCTGTCGGTTGGGAAAGCGTAGACGCCACCTCCAACGGATATATGGACATTGCTATATGTCTGGACGCTTTGCGGCCAAAGTAATGATGGACTATTCGCCAAGATCTTCTGGGCCATTTTAGGAGCCGTAGAGAGCAAGGATTCGACGCTGGATGGCTGGAAGTGGCTGGCCGATCAAGGCACGCTAAGCGGATTGCCAATCTCCGCCCGTCCGTCGACCAGGAACACTTGTTGAGCGCAACACGCTTGAAGGCTGCGTTTGGGTTCTCGCACCGGACAATGGACGACTCTGTGTTCCTGTTCAGGTTCCAGAGGTCGACATGCCCTTCACCGTCCACGGATGCGAAGACAGCCGGGTGGTGTGGATGCCACTTAGCGTCGTACACGTAATCCTCGAACGAGTCTAGGGACAAGACCGGCGCTTGATACTGAGAGCCGATTTTCAGAAGCTGTCTGCCAACCGATTCCACAGTCTGCCTCCCTGGCGCCCCGCCAGGAGCGGCTGGCAGGGAAGATGTGGCTGAAAAATTGGTCCCAACGCTTCCTTTTGAAGATGTCCCAGGGAAATCAAAAGGTACAGATACCACTGCTCCCCGGACCTCTTCCGGGGTGCGTTCTGACTCGGATTTCGAGGCGAAGTCGGCGGTGGCGACGAGGGCCGCCCAAGAGGCCCCAAACGGGGAAAACGGGGGAGGGTAGCGGTATGGGTACCTTTTCCTCCTCTGAGTTCGACGGACGCCCGCCTCCAAGTGGGGTTCTTCTGTGAGCTCCTGCTTCGCCAGTGTCTTCCAGACAGCCAGTGGGGGGCTCCAGGCAGGATGCGGCCCACGTGGAGAGGGGAGCGGCCATGTCCAACGGCCCTTGGATCATTGTTCGAGTATTGCACTGGTAACCCCCCGCTGACACATCAGACGCAAAGGTGCATGCAGGCATAAAGCAGCCAGGCGTCCCTGAAACTCAGGCAAGCGTGTCGTTATCAAACAACCTGCGTTGCACTTTTACTGGGCTGGGCACGCGCGAAGCGAGCCCTCTCTAGAAGAAATGTATGGGCAAGACCGTCGTCCATATTTAACCTTCCCAAACGTCACCCCGTGCTTTTGTGGATCCCTGGGGCCTTCGGAGGGTGAGGCATTTCCGTGGGTGTACCCGCTGGCAGGCCAATGTCATATGGGATCGGCTGTGCCTGCTGTACCCTGCTTTCAATGTTCGAAAGCATGTTTCCCCAGCGGATTGGCCAGGTCAGTAATGGGGGGTATGGTTACCCCAATCTGAAGGGGCCCTGGGACACACAAATAAATACATACAAATAAAAAGGTTCCCCATATTTTCCGATATTTTCTGGGTTTCTGTCTTCCCCCCCACTTCCCATATTTTCCCATATTTTCTGGGGAATCGAGGATTAATTGTGTCTGTGTGTTTTTTCCTCTCCTGACAATCCCCGACTTCGCGGGTTTTCCGACTGGACAAACCACTGGGGTTCAGCGATGGGGGGGGGTCCGTCCTCGATAAAGGGTTCGCCCGAACAGCCCCCCCGGGAGGTGTATCCCTGAGTTTCCAATCTTTGAAGGGGCCCCAGGACACACAAACAAATACACACACATAAAATAATTCCCCATATTTTCCCATATGTTCTGGGTTTTTGTCTTCCCCCCCCACTTCCCATATTTTCCATATTTTCTTAATTGTGTCTGTGTGTTTTTTCCCCTCCTGAATCTTTTCCGAGCGGCTATTTTTTGGGGGGGAACTCGGGGACTGGGGGGGAGAAATCGAGAGCGCGCCAAGGCATCGCCGGCAAAAAGTGCTCTCCTGCTTCACCGTCCACAGCTTCACGCTCCAGTCGAACGAGCACGACAGCGCCAGGTCGAACGTGGCGTCGAGGCCTGGCTGGTGCGGGTGCATGTCGATGCCTGCCCAGGGACTGGGAGCGGTGCGGGACAGAGCAGTGATGGGGAGACGAGCGCGGCAAACTCGTGTCGTGACAACAACGGCGTTGTTTCTGAGACAGGGTGGACATTTGCCCCGAACGCTCGCTGCTTTCCGATGGCGCGTGCCGTGCGACGTCGGCGGATCCCGGACCCGTGGCGGCGTTCAGCCCAGAACGCCCGCGCTGGGGTCGCCATCGCGTCGACGCGGCTCAAGGGGCCCAGGGACACACAAACAAAGACACACAAATGGCAGGATTCCCAATCTTTTCATATATTTTTCCTGGGTTTCTGTCTTCCCCCCCACTTCCCATATTTTCCCCTATTCTCCTGGGAATCGACGATTCATTGTGTCTGTGTGTTTTTTCCCTCCTGAGCGGCGCGAGCCTGCCGTGAGAGGAGAATTGCTTCTGCAAGAGGATATGCGGACAAGGAGGGCAGCGAGGGAAGGGAACAGTGAGCGGGGTTCACGAGGAGGGGGGAAGAGGAGGAGGAGGAGGAGGAGGAGGAGGAGGAGGAGGAGGAGGAGGAGGGGGACGGAGAGTGTTGGAGGCGGGGGGAGAGCCTGAGATCGGTCCTTCGTGTCCGTCGTAGCACTCGGTAACGCCAACCTTGCTGCCGTGGATGTGCACCTGGCGCCGCGCCAGTGAGAGAGAAGGGCGCGCTCGTGCGAGAGCTGCGAATCCGATCCTGGTCTCCTCCTCATCGTGCCCGCTTCCTTGCCCGTCTTCCTCCAGGGTGGAAGGCGAAATTCGATGGGCGGTCCCCGGGATCCGACGCCGCGACACAGGAACGCATCGTCGCGAACTACCATCACCAGATCCAGCGGCTCCGTACTCAGGCGAGACGCGGCGAGAAGACCCGTCGCGTGTGTTTCGGCACGTCCTGACGTCAGTAGAGACGGGCCCACCCTCAACAGATGGCCTCTTCTTCACGCTGCCAGACGTCATCCTCCGCACGCGACCGCGGCCGCGACTCGCCGCCGCCCGACGCCAACCTGCATTCCCAAGCGCGCCTCTCGATAACTGGCGCACGACCCCCCTGCGACAGCCGTGCCCAATGCATGAGAGAGCTGAGACCATGGGGGCCCAAGAGGGAGGGAGGGAGAGGGGGAGGGAGGAGGGAGAGGGAGGGGGGGGAGGGGGGGGGGGGGGAGGGAGGGGGGGGGGGCACCTGGGATGGGGAGACCGAGGGGGGAGGCCCACGCGCATCGTGCTGGGCACTACGCAGGCCTTCGTCGCCGTGGGGGTGGCCGTCGGAAGTGAGCCCGTGGACCCCGCGTGATCACCCGGGCCCTGGCGCGGTGGCAGGTCGGGCGTGTCCCCCTAAGCAGGCGGATCTTGGACGAATAATGAAACATAGCCCCAACAGGCCCCCGGAATGCTCAGAAACAGTGAAAAAACGTCCCCAGACTAGTTTTTTGGAGTAGCTCTGAAATGTTCTCCCTGTCATAGGGGGACTATTTTTTGAGTAGTTCTGAATAGTTCTCCCATTAGAGTGGCTGAAGATAGGGGGAAGTTAGGGGATAGAGTGGGTTAAGATAGGGATACGTTAATCAAAAAAAGGAAAACAATGAAAAGCTATCTTCCACAACTTCAAACTAACTTCCACAACTTCCACAGCTTCATCAAAACTGTTTTTGGTCATCTAAGGCCTATTTTTTGTGTAGTTCTGTGTTCTTCCTGTGGAGGGGCAGGCCCGACGTCAAACCCTGGCGGGGGCCGCGATCGGGCCCAGGACTGTCCCGGCGCCGGGCCGTGGCCCCCTGCGGCGGATCCACGCGCGGTTAGGCCGCCGCAACCGCGCCCGAGGGGGGTGCCCTTCTCGAGCCGCGCGGGCCCCACGGCCTTAGGGGTTCGCCCCTCGCCTGTTGGACGACATATTTAAAAATACCAAAGATGTTTCCAAAGTTTCAGAAATCAATGAAAAAATCGTCCCCTGAGTATTGGTTTACTCTTTTCGGATCTTCCTCCTGTAGAGGGACACGCCCGACCTAAACTTAGTAAGACAAAGCCGAAACCCCAAGTGCGGGTCGGGCGGAAGAGGGGGATGTCAAAGGGGGGGTTTTATTCCCGGCGCCTCCCGGCGCCGGTGCACCGAGGAATGGGCCCCTCGGCGGGGCCGAAACCAGCCCCCCCTAGCCCAATCCCCCCCCTGTCGTCTGGCCCGGGCCACGCACGTGGACCCTCTTCAGACGAAGGGCAGTGACAAGACACGGCTGCAGGTGCGGCGGAGCAGCAGGGAGGGGGAGGGAGAGGAGGGAAGGAGAGGGAGAGGAGGGAGGGAGAGGAGGAGACGAGCGTAGAGGAGGAGGGAGAGGAGGAGGAGGAGGAGGAGGAGGAGGAGGAGGAGGAGGAGGAGGAGGAGGAGGAGGAGGAAGAGGAGGAGGAGGAGGAGGAGGAGGAGGAGGAGGAGGAGGAGGAGGAGGGGGAAGGAGGAGGAGGGGGAAGGAGAAGGAGGGGGAAGGAGAAAGGACGAGCCGAAGAAGAAAGGGGAGACGGGAAGAGAGCGGTTCCATTTCAAACCCTTTGAGGGCCGACCGCGCCCCCACCCCCATCCAGTCTGGTGTTGATCAGGGGGCCCGAGGACACAAAGAGATACACACAGAAATCCCAGGAACCCAAATCTTTTTCCCATAGTTTCTGGATGTTCGTCTTCCCCCCCCCACCTCCCATATTTCCCCATGTCTTCCTGGGAATCGACGCTGAATTGTGTCTGTGCTTTTTTCTCCCTCCTGGCATGAGCCCTGCGACCCCGTGCGAACTCTGGGGATGTGCGGCCGGGCCTCGGCTGTAAGGCCGCCCACTCCGGAAAAGGAGCTCAGCGGATATCACGAGGAGGAGGAGGCACCCATGCCGCTGCTCGTCCTGGAGAGTTTCTCGTCGCCACCGCTGTGTTCTCCTTGAGATTCTGGGCAGAATGCACCTCTGGAGAGGTCCAGCGGGTGGCGGTAGATCGGTACACCGGACTCACTTCTATAGCGCTCACTTCTATAGTGCTCACTTTGAAATTGTGGTCCGGAAGGGGCCGCACATGCAGGCACATGCCGCACAGTCGCATGCACATGCCCATGCAAATATACAAAAGCCTCAACAGCATTGCCGCACATGCGCGCACATGCCACACCGTCCGACGCACAGTCGAATGCACGGTCAAGCAAAACTCTGAAAGCATAGACGCACATGCCCGCACATGCCGCAGAGATGTCGCAGGCGATAGTGGCCTGACCACCTGAGCTTGGGGCATTTCGCAACCCAGAGTTGCGAGGATGTCTCAGGCAAGCGTGGCCAGACCACCATGGGGCAGGGCATCTTGGAAACCAGATTGGCGAGGATGTCGCTGGTCAAGGTGACAAGACGACCATGGGGCAGGACACCTCCGAGGTCTGAGTTGTGAGGATGTCTCAGGCGAAAGTGGCCTGACCACCATGGGGCAAAAGATCTCTGAGGTCAGAGTTGCGAGGATGTCTCTGGCGAGAGTGGTCTGACCACCTCAGCCCAGGGCGTCTCGGAACCCAGAGTTGCGAGGATGTCTCAGGCAGGAGTGGCCTGACCACCTGCTCAGGGCATCTCGGAACCCAGAATTGCGGGGATCTCAGGCGAAAAAGGCCGAGACACTATGGAGCAGGGCATCATTGAGGTCAGAGTTGCGAGGATGTCTCAGGCGAAAGTGGCCTGAACACCTCAACTCAGGGCATCTCGGGCGAGGATGTCTAAAGCGAAAGTGGTCTAACCACCTCAGCTCAGGGCGTCTCGGAACCCAGAGTTCCGAGGATGTCTGAGGCGAAAGGGGCCGAGACACTATCGAGCAGGGCATCATTGAGATCAGGGTTGCGAGGATGTCTCAGGCGACAGTGGCTGACCACCTCAGCTCGGGGATATCGGAATCGAGACTTGCGAGAATGTCTCAGGCGACAGTGGCCTGACAAGCATGGGGCAGGAGATCTCTGAGGTCAGAGTTGCGAGGATGTCTCAAGCGAAATTGGGCTAACCACCTCAGCTCAGGGCGTCTCGAAACCCAGAGTTCCGAGGATGTCTCAAGCGAAAGTGGCCGGGCCACCCTGGGGCAGGGCATCTCCGAGACCAGAGCTGCGAGGATGTCTCAGGCGAAGGTGGCCAGATCACCTCATGTCAAAGCATGTCGGCCTCCAGATTGCCGACGACGTCTCACGCGGAACGGGCCGGACGCGAACGCGCCGGCGCCCGGAGACGAACGCCGGCCCTGGGATTCTTGCACGTCCCGCACATGCCCCGCACAGGTACGCACAGTATTCGCACAGGCCGAGCTCGCCAGTGGCCGAGCCAGGCCAGCGATTCCGAGATTCCCTGAACTCGGGCCGTCAAGCCACTTTCGCCTGAGATGTCCTCGCAACTCTCACCTCCTCCTCCTCCTCCTCCTCCTCCTCCTCCTCCTCCTCCTCCTCCTCCTCCTCCTCTGGCCGAGCCGAACAGGCGGGCGGGCCGGCCGAGCCAGGGGCGTCCGCCTCCTCCGCCCCCCCCTCCTCCCCTCCCCCTCCACCTCCCCCACCCACCCCTGCTTCTCCGGCCCAGCTGAGAAGGCGCGCGGGAGATTATTTTACTAGGAGGGCACGCCACCGCCAGCTCCAAGAACCGCCCCCGCCAGCAGCGGGCGAGTCTAAACGCACAACAAACTCTTTCAAGAAGCCCTGGCACGCCCCAGGTTAGCTCTGCGAAGGCCAGGAGGCATTGGAGGCACAGGGGTCCCAGACAGCTCCTAGGGCATGAGCGTGCATGTGCATTGGGATGTGCACGCATGTGCGCCCGCGCGTTTCACCGCATGTGCGTGCATGTGCGGGCCCGCGCGGCCTCCCGAAGAGAGGTTGCACAGGCATGTGCGTGCATGTGCCGATGACAGACCTGCGATTCTCGAACACCTCCCGCATGTGCAGGCATGTGCGCGCATCTGCGTCGGACTGCGCGTGCATGTGCGCATGATGGATACATCGAAACACAGCGCACATGCCCCCGCACATGCCCGGGCACGACGTGCACAGTAGGAGGTCCATCCAAGAAGGGCCGCACAGGCCTGGCACATGACTGGCACATGCCGCGCACATGCGCGCACATGACAGCGCAAAAACGGCCGCACATACACCCACCCAGGGGTATAGATGTGAGTGCGGTGTACGGTCGGACCTAGGCCAGAACATCCTTCGAGAACGTGATACCCTCCGCGGGCCAAACCACAAATGACATCCAAGGGCGCCTTCCACCAGGATGCACAAGGGCATCCAACAAGCACGAAGAACATGACGGTGCCCTCCCCGAACCGACCTCTGGGGATGTACAGTCAACTGTATAAAAAAGAACGCACGATAAGGATGCAAGGGCCTGGGAAGGCCATGTCGACACCTTGCGAGCAGGGCGCGGCCAGCGAGAGCGGCCATGGAGGGGCCCAAGGGGAATGATGAAAGGGTACCTTTGGAAAGTCGCTCATCCTTACTATGTGGGTTGACTGTAACTCGCCCCATCAACTAAGTCAGCGCTGGGCGTTGCGCGCCCTGCGAACCACGTGTGTTGTGCAGCCCACGGGAGCCGTGCGCCGCGCGAACACCATGAGGCCCTCAAGCGTCAAAGCCCTGCCTGCCCTGCGCGCTCTGCGAGCTCTAGACCTGCGCTGGCATCTGTGGGACCCGCGGCACGAGCCGCGCATCCCCCAGGAGAGACCCACGAGCCCCACGCGCCTCAGGGGCCACGCGGATAATATCAACCCTACGAGCCCTGTGGTCGCCAGTATGGAACCCATGGGCAGTTGAGCACTACACAAGCCATGGGTCTATATAAGTGACAGAGGAAGCACCCTCACAACACAAGAAACACCTACAAGCGAAACAATGTTTAGAAAACGGTCCCACGGAGGACAACGAATAGAGCAAGACTGTTTAGTAAACACGCGTGGACCAGTATGGAGGTCGGGGTGTTTCCCCTCCCTTTGAGATGAACCGATCACGCCCCGTGCGCTCTCTCAGCTCGGTCGCAATTCCTCACCCAGCACTTTCTTGAGTTCAGATTCGTTGCGCCGTGCGAGCATCGATGGTTCCGATGACTTTGCCAGCGCAAGGGTCCCCGCACGCCCTGGGAGCCACGAGAACTGTCCGCAATGTGACTCGTTCAGGATCGTGGCGACCACGCCGGCTCGCCCGCTGCTCGGGGCTCGCTGCCTCCCATCACCCAGACAAGCCTTTCGGGGACTCCGCTGCCGGCATACACAATTTCGCGAACAATTGTGCGATCAGCCTTCGTTACATCACCAAGAGTGGATTAGCGAAGCGAAGCGAGCTGATAACATGCTGTATGTTTCTAGACGTAAATGTATGTATATATATACACATACACATGCGTTTGCGTGAAGCTGATACTGCGTCCGCCAACCCCCTTCGGGGCGCTAAGCTGTCAGGTCTTCTGCTGGACTGCTGCCTGGTGCTCGTGGTGCTGCCCTCTCCGTGTTTGTCTCTCGTCTCTCCAGTCCCGTCTCCACATTTGTCTCGAATGGGAGCCCAGGACGCCCCAGACAGGCCAACCAGGGAGGGCGGGGGGGGGCCCCAAGTTCCCTGCCGAGGTCTTCTGCTGGACTGCTGCCTGGTGCTCGTGGTGCTGCCCTCTCCGTGATGGTCTCTCGTCTCTCCGGTACCGTCTCCACATTTGTCTCTAATGGGAACCCAGGACGCCCCAAACAGGCCAACCAGGGAGGGCGGGAGGGGCCCTCAAGTTCCCTGCCGCTGACCATCGCTCGGACGTCCATTCCCTGTGCTTTTTTTGGTTTCGTGCGTGGTTTTCGTCAAATGATCAAGGATGCTCCTCGATGGTCCTCGTCGAAGGAAAACTCCACACGTCCGAGCGATGCCAAGGCCGATCTAGGTTGCCCAAAGATCTCCATTGGACGCCACCGCACGGTCCCGGGAGGCCCAGGCGGCCTCTCGAAGGCGGACCCGGGAGGCCCCGAAGAGGACTTCAAGCGCCCCAAAGGGCCGAAGAGGACCTCATGATGCCTCTGATAGGGAGCCACATGCGAACCCTATACCCCTACCCCCCACGATTTCTGAGAGGGAGGGTGGGGTTCACCTCGCTCGGGAGCTCCCGAGCGAAGTGAACCCCACCCTCCCCCTAAGAAATCGTGGGGGGTAGGGGTAGGGTTCGCATGTGGCCCCCTATGTGAGATGGCCTGGGAGGGGCCCAAGACGTCTCCGAGAGGGCAATCCATATTGAAGCCATCAAATGCTCACTGCTGTTTGCAGGTTCCACGTTCTGCTCCCAAGATATGCAGAGATCGCCTCAGCACGGTCCCAGGAGCTACCGGGATTGCCCAAGACGCACCCAAGGTAGCCTCACCAGGCCCCAAGATGCTACCCAAATCGCCCAGGATGGCCCAACAACTGCGATGCCGTGCATGCCATTGCATCTAATTGAGGTGCACTGCGTACATCTGGCTCCTGCAGAGAACACCCCTGATGGGGCTCGCGCCAGCTTGCGGAAGGTATCATGGGCACACCTGGTAACCGAAAGCCCTGCATTCTGCACAGGATGGAAGCCCCGACCTGGATCGCGACAGCGTCAGGCTTTTTTTGGGGGGGCAACGCACGACCGCGCCGATCCTGGCAAGTCGTAGGTCGGGCATGTCTCCCTACAGGCGGATTTTGGACGAAGCATAAAACATGCACCAACAATGCACCAACAATACCCAAACATGGTCAACAAATCGTCCCCAAACTATTTTCAACAACTATTTCCCTACCTAGGCTCTGCCTAGAAGGGTTCTTACTCTCTTTGCTTAAAGGGACCAGGCAGTGGACCCCGCCCCGGGCGGTTCCCCCAGGATCCGCCCCGCGGTTCCCCCAGTCCCCTGGGAGCTTTAGCTTTAGCTTAGCGTTAGCTTAGCTTTAGCTTAGTTTTAGCTTAGCTTTACTGTTACTACTAATGCTGCTTTCCTAGGGGCTCCAACTCCTAGGTGGGGTCGCACTGGGATAATTTTGAGTCTTCCCCTTGCAGAGGGACACGCCCGACTTAAGGCAAGTTCACCGTGTGAACTGCGCTGTACTTGCCCCCCCCGCTGGCAGGGCAGGCAAGGGGCACCGCCGAGCCCCACAATAAATTACACCACGACCGCGCGCGCGGGGGGGGGGGGAAGCCGCGCGAGGGCCTGCGGACGCTGCCACTGGGCTCAAGCCGTCGTGGTGACCCTGGAGTTCGGTCGGGCATGTCCCCCTACAGGCGGAATTTGGGCGAACAATGATCAAACAAAATCGTCCCCAGACTATGTTTTCACCATTTGGGAATCGTCCTCCTGCAGAGGGACGGTGTCCGACTGAACCCATGGAGCCCCCAAGCTTGGCACGCCCGAAATGGGTACGGACAAACTGGCACGATGCCCAACAGCAAGTGTCATCCGGCACCGACAGCGGCCGCTGTCGGACCGGCGACCTTTTGCACCAGGCGGACGACGCCCGCGGCGACACCATCGGCGTGTCCTGCCCCAAAGGAGCAGGAACTGCTGTCGGTCTTCGTTCCTTTTCTTGCCGTGCCCATCTCGACGGAGGAGGGCGAGTTTAGGGGAACAAAAAGTGGCATAAACAGAAAGACTCGGAGGTCCCGCGCGGACTTCTCGGATCGGCGCTGGACCCCCGTCCCTGGCGCGCGGAGCGCGCCAGGGGCGGCGCCGGAGGCGCCGCCGGGGGGCCCCAGCGCCGATTCGAGAAGTCCGCGCGGACCTCCGAGTTGTTATGTCTATGCCACTTTTTGTTCCCCTATAGTATCGACAAGAGAGTTCGGAAGAGGGCGAGTGGAGGCAATGGCAGCTCAGACCGGTCCCCTGACCCCCTCCTGGGGTCAACGGGCACCAATTGTCCGAGCTGCGCCCAGCCGTGGCGACGAGCCCCCCCCCCCCGCCTCCCAGAAATCCAGCCACCGTTGCCTCAACCATCCCGTCTCTGAAGCGCCCCTATCTCTCCGTCGGGCGTGTCCTCCTACAGGCGGCTTGTTGACGAACACACATGCCACAAACATGCGCCAAAAATGCTACACAGCAGTCGGCAAATCGCCCCCGCATTGTTTGGGCTACTCTTGAACATCTTGTGGAGGGACAGGCCCGACGAAACCCCATCTGCTCCCAGCCGACTGGCGCCTGGGCGCCTACTAGGCCCCCCCCCCCGGGCGCATCCTACGCCAGGTCGTCCGCCCCGGCGTGGCGCTGGGCGACAGCCTCCGCGCCCAGCAGAAGCCGCTGGAACTCCCTCAGCTCCTGCCGCAACCCGTCCGCCGCCGCCTGCGCACCGTGCTGCCGCGCGGGCGCCCCGCAGAGCTCGCTCGGCCACGCCCCCGCCGCCGCCTCCTCCGCGGCCGCGGCCTCGTGCTGGGCCTCCCGCAGCTCCTGTCGCAGGAAGAAGATCGAGGCGCTTTGCTCGGCCGCCGCCGCGCGGCTGCGCAGCTGCGCCTCGCGCAGCTCCTGGCGCAGGCCTTCGGCCACGGCGGCGGCCACGCCGCCAGGTGCTCCGGCGACGGCGGGCGGCGGCGCCGGCTCGGGCGGGCCCAGTCCTCTGCGCAAGGCCCGGGTGGACGGCCCGTCCTCGTCAGCCGCGCAGCGCCTGCGCGCCTCCCCGAGCTCCAGCCGCATGCCCTCAAGCGCCTTGTCGCGGCTGGTCATGGCCACCTCCCCCCGGAACTCCGCCTCCTGGCACACCTGCATCTCGTGCTGGGCCGTCTCGAGAGATGCATCCAACTCGTCGGCCGCCTGCTCGCCAAGCTGCTGCGCATGTTCGGCCGATCTGAGTTCTTCGTGCAGGCTTTCGATGGACGCGTCGACCTCCTCGCCACGCTGGTGCTCGTCTTGGACGCAGGGCGCCAGACGCTGCAGGGCTGCCTTGGCTAAGGCCTCCTCCCCCCGCTTTTGGGCGGCCATCGACGAACTCAGGGCGCGCCGGATGCTGTCGAGCGCGGTGTCCCTTTCGGCATAAGCCTCTAAACCCATCTGCTGTGAACGCGTGACCAGCGCCAGCTGCTGCCGCAAAGTCTCGACGGCAGCTACATGTTGACTGATCGCATCTTCCGCGCGCTGGTCTGCCTCCTGGAGCTCCTGCCGCAACCTCTGGACGGCAACAGACTCGTTCGACAAGGGTTCCACGCCTCGCCCTTGCGCTCTGCACTGCTGCAGCTCGCGCCGCGTGGCCTCGAGCTGGGCGCTCTGCTCGGCGAAGGCTTCTCCCCGAACGTGCTGTGCTCGCTCGACCGACTCAAGCTCCTGCTGTTGCTCCTGCTGCAGCCCCAGCAGCTCCACACCGAGCTGGTGGGCCGCCTGGAGCTGCTGCCGCAGATGCAAGACCGTCTCGTCGGAACTGCGGGCCCCCTCCTGGCAGGCCCATGCCGCGTCGAGGTCCTCCCACCCCTCCAGCGCCGCCTCCTGCCTGGCCAGCGCCTCCTCCCCCTGCAGCATTGCCTGCCGGGACAGCTGCAGCTGCTGCCGAAGAAACAGGAAAAAGGCCTCCTGCTCCTCCGCCGCCCCCGGCCCCAGCTGCCGCGCGGCCTGGAGCTCCTGCTGCAGGCCCTCCAGCGCCGCCTCGAGGCTCGCCGAGCAGCCCTCCCCCTGCTGCACCGCCCGCTGGCACTCCTGCAGCTCGTCCCGCAGGTAGAGGAGCGACGCCTCCTGCTTCTCCGCCACCCCCGCCACCAGCTGCCGCGCGGCGTGGAGCTCCTGCCGCACGCCGACGAGCGCCGCCTCGGGGCCGGCCGACGCCTCCTCGCTCTCCCGCGAACGGCGCGCCGCGGCTCCCCCGGAGGGGCCCCGCTCGGCAGAAGCCTCCTCGTCCAGGCGCTGTGCCTCCTCCATCGACTCCAGCTCCCGCCGCAGCCCCCGCAGCTCCGCGCCGTGCTGCTGCTCCGCCAAGAGCTCCTGCCGCAAGTGCTGGACCACCTCCTCGTGGCCGGCCGGCGCCTCCGGCTGCAAGTCCTGCCTGGCACCCTCCAGCACCGCCTCGTGCCCGGCCAGTGCCCCCTCCCCCCGCTGCACCGCCCGCTGGGACTGCTGCAGCTCCTCCTGGAGAGCCAGGAGCGAGGCCGCGTGCTCCTCGCGAGACGCCTTCAGCTCTTGCAGCACGCTCTCGCAGCGGGCCTCTCGCTCGGCCAGTGCCTCCGCGCCGCGCTGCCGCGCCTCCGCGCCGCGCCGCTCGGCCTCGCGCTGCTCCTGCTTCAGGGCGCGGAGCGCTGCCGCGTATCTGGCCAGGGTGTCCGCGCTCTGCAGCTTGGCGTCCTGCATCTCCTGCTTCAGGCCCTGGAGCCACGAGTCGTGGCCGGCCAGGGCCCGCTCGCTCTGCCGCTGCGCATCTAGGGAGCTGCGCAGCTCGTGCCGCAGGGCCTCGAGCGAGGCGTCGCGCAGGGCGAGCGCGCCCGCTTCGGACTGCTGCGCCCGCTGAGCCGACGCGAGCTCCTGCCGCAAGGCCTCCGTCGAGGCAGCCTTTTCCCCGAGGACCTCCGCGACGTGCTGCTCCGCCTCCCCCAGCGCCCGCTTCAGGTTCTCGATCTCCGCCGCGCGGCTGGGCAGTGCCCCCTCCTCCTTCTGCATCGCCCGCTGGGACTGCTGCAGCTCCTGCCGAGCAAAGAGAAGCGATGCCTCCTGCTTCTCCGCCAGCCCTGGCCCCAGCTGCCGCGCGGCATGGAGCTCCTGCTCCAGGGCCTCCAGCGCTGCCTCGATGCTGGCCGAGCACCCCTCCCCCAGCCGCTGCAGGGTCATGCCTGGCAGCTCCGCCCCCTGGCCTGCCGGTGCCTGCCGCGGCTGGTGCCGAGGCCCCTGCGGCCCGTGCTCGCCTGCGAGCGCCTCGGCCTCGGCCTGCTCCGGCCGCCGCGCCGCCCCAGACATCCGGCCGCTCCCATCTTTTCGATGCGTGGGCCCCGGAGGTCTGGACCACTTCCCCGGGGGCCGGTCCCTCGTCCCGAGTCGCTCTTCAACGCGCCCGATGCCCGGCGAGGGCCCCAGGAGGCCGAACACGGCCTAAATCCCGCCGCTCCAATTTTTGGCGTTGTGATTTTGTTCGCAACGTCGACCCCCAGAGGTCTGGACCCCTTCCCCGGGGCCGGTTTTTCGTCCCGAGCCGTTCTTTGACGCTGCCTGGGCCCGGTATGTAAGGGCCCCCCGGGAGGTCTGGACCCCTTCCCCAGGACTGGCTCTTCGTCCCTGAGTCGTCTTGTTGACGCTCTTGGGGCCTGGTAGGGGCCCCCGAAGGCCGAAAATACGGTGATGGCATTGGATAAAGGAAACCATCTATAAGGAATGCAGGGTCTGGAAGCGGGCAGAATGCCAATCGTAAACTGGCCATGGATATCACTGCCGCCCTCGTCAGATAAGAAACCCTCCAGGGTCTGAAGCCTCCTGTGCACCTTCCTTTTAACGAACGCCCCCGCCGTAGGGAACCCCTCCCGTCGTGATTTTCTCTTTTGCCCCCGGCGGGAGGAGGAGGGAGGAGGAGGAGGAGGGGGTGGAGGAGGAGGAGGAGGAGGAGGAGGGGGAAGAGGAGGAGGAGGAGGAGGAGGAGGAGGAGGAGGAGGAGGAGGAGGAGGAAGAGGAGGAGGAGGAGGAGGAGGGAACGCCTCCCGTCGTGATTTTTCCTTTTGCCCCCGGCGCAAAGGAGGTCCGGGGCCTCGGCCTGCGCCGCCTCGGCCCGCGCCGCCCCCGCCGCACCTCTTGGAGCACCACTATAGGAGCCGACCGCCCCGGCCTTCGGGGGCGGACAGGACCCCCAAGAGCTCATCGTGCCTGTCGTTGGAGGGCAGAGGAAACCATGCACATACACCGATCCTGGCCAGGCCCAACCCTGAGCCCAGGATTGGTGCACACGCCCTCTCGCCTTGGCCAGGGAGGTACATGCACCGATCCTGGGGCCAAGGATGAGCCTGGCCTGGCCAGGATCGGTGCATGTGCATAGTTCTCTTGGCCCGAGTCGTATGTTCATCGTGCATCTTGGGGGAGGGGGTACTGTCGAGTGATCTTATGGTCTGGTGTGTGGTGGCCGGCGGAGGGTCTCGTGCTCTTGGCGGTTGTGCTTCTGTCCCAGGTCCGACCGGGATCAGAATGACAGGCAGTGTCTGTCAGGGGTGGACAGAACCCCCAACAGTGATACGTCGATTGGTGAACTGTCCGTGTTCGGTTCTCGAGAGGGCGCCGTGGCCGTCAGTTTCCAGGCTTGCGCCCACCAGGTTTGGGCATCAGGCCGTTTTCACTAAACCACGTTTTACTAAAGGGGGGTCTGTCCATCCCCGAGGCATTCCTATGGGCCCGCCACGACGTGTCCCTACTCTAAGAACAGAGCACACTGTTCGTAGAGCCTGCAGTAAACCCGACGTGCGTTTTGAAACAGGACGAGCGCCCGCCAGCTACTCGCTCCGAGAACATGTCGTAGAAACCACAAGCGGTTCTCAGAACATGCCATGGTGAGGCAATAATTAGGCGAGACAGGACGCTTCGCCACTGGGTTCTAGGAGCAAAAAACAATGTTCTTAGAACCAAAACCCGATGTGTGTTCAAACAAGACAGTCCCAGCCAGAGTTTTTTCTGAGAACATTTCGTAGACCACAAAAGGTTCTTAGAACATTTACTGCTAAGTCGGGCCTGTCCTCCTACAAGGGGATTTTGCCGAAAATGCAAAATACCCCGAACATGCGCCACGATGGTCAACAAATGCCAAAACAATCGTCCCCAGACTAATTTTTGAAGTACTTTGAATTATTCCTCCTGTATCGGGAGCGGCCAAGAGGGGGGTGTCCAAGAGGGGGGGGTGCAGATCATGACCGGCGGCATGTGCGCGGCCCAGCGGGGGGGCCACGGACGTAATGAAACAAGAAGAGGCGCCGTGAAATCTGGGGAAATCTCATGGCACCCGCCATGATATCCCCCCCCCTAATTAGTCATCACCCCCCTCCTTTCCACCCCCGACTGTAGAGGGACAGGCCCGACTCAAATTTAGTAGGCCAGGACGCTTCGCCTTATGTCGGGCGTGTCCCCCTACAAGGGGATTTCGACGAAAAATAAAAATGCCCCAAACATATTCCAGAAAGGCAAAACATACTCAAACAATAGTCCCCAGGCTATTTTTCCAATATTTTTGGACTACTTTTGGGGTATCTTTTTTGTTTTGTCGAACTTCCCCCTGTAGGGGGACAGGCCCGACTCAAGCTTCGCCACCGCTTGCACCTCCCGGCGAGCCCGCGCCCGCGGCGCCGGCGTGCGCGCCCGGCGACGCGCCCCGCGCCGCCTCGCCGGGGCCCCGCGCCTGCTGCCGCGCCGCCCGCGCCGCGGCGCCGCCGCCGCGGGGCGGGGCGTCGAGCCGAGCGCCTCTGCCGGGGGCGTCCAAGACTGGGGGAGACCCGAATGTGAGAGGAGGAGGAGGAGGAGGAGGAGGAGGAGGAGGAGGAGGAGGAGGAGGAGGAGGAGCCCCAGGACACACAAAGAAATACACACAAAGAAAAATATCCCCCACACTTTCCCATAGTTTCTGGGCTTCTGTCTCCCCCCCCCCCCCCACGTCCCAGATTGTCCCATATTTTCGGGGGAATCGAGGATTGATTGTGTCTGTGTGTTCCTGTTCCTCCTGATCAGGGAGGGGAGGGGTGCACATCACGGCCGGCGGCGTGTGCGCGGCCCAGAGGGGGGGGGCCAGGGACGTAATGAAGCAGGAAGAGGCGCCAGGAAGTCTGAGGAGATGTATCATGGCCCACGTCATGGTGTACTCCAGATTTCGTAATAAAGGGAAGGGGGTCTCATTTCGGGGGGGGTCTCTTCCAGGCTATCTTGGAGGGCCTGGGGTGGTCTGGGGACGATGTTTTGGAGGGTTCTCCCACGAGGGGGGGTCTGAAATGGCTTGTCTTGGAGGGTCCAGACCCCCTCCCTTTTATTACGAAATCTGGAGTATCCTTCTGACCCAGGTCCATCCAGACCCGGGGTCAGTCGGGCCTTGCAGAACCCTGCAGGATCCTGCGCCCAAGCCCGGGTCAGTGCGAAGGCTCCTGCAAAATCCTGCAGGGTCCTGCGCCCAAGCCCGGGTCAGTGCGACCCTGTCCCTGCAGGATCCTGCAAGATCGGGCGCTCTGGCTGACCCCCGTTTGCATTGACCCCGTCTCAAGGCTCCCGAGACCTGCCGGGGCGTGCTGCGCCGGCGCGGGGGCGGCACCGGGAAGCGTCGACACCGACAGGCCGCCGCCTGGGGCTGTGCTCCCAGACGCAGTATATCGCGTCGTAAAAAACAGATCTGGGCGGCAAAAACTTAGCTAGTTCTGGCCCCCATGGGAGCCCTCGCCGGTCCCTGGGACCTCCAAAAAACGACTCAGGATGAGAAACTGGCCCAGGGGGAAAGGTTCTGGACTTCCAGGGACGCCGTACTGAACAAATCTGGACGCCGCATGTCTGGGTTGTTCCCGTCGTACTCAAGGACCACATTCCAAACATAATTTCGAGCACCCAGAAAAGTATCGGAACGATGTCGAGCGAGTATCGCCTCCCAGCCCAGCGCGTGCAAGCCCTCTAGTTTCGGTATTTTCCTGGTGCTCGAAATCCCAGACCCCCGACGTCGTGTTTTTTCACAACGTGGACTCCCAAAGGTCTGGACCCCCCTGGGACCGGTTTTTCATCCCGAGCCGTTTTTTGACGGTCCCGGGGCCCTGCGAGGGCCCCTGGAGGCAAAAAACTCGGAAAAACCTCCGCCTTGATGTTTTCAATGCGTTGGATCTCCGGGAAATCCTCTCTGGCGGTCAAGGCTAGACAGCAGGTTGGAACACCACGGGCCTGGGGCAGCGCTCGCGGGCGGCGCGGGGCTGGAGGGCGAGAGCCCGGGCGACCCGAGGAGGCTGCGGTAGTAGGCCAGCTTCTCGTCGGGCCGCATGCCCGGGGGCACGACGTGCGCGCGGCACGCGGAGCAGAGCCACCACTCGCACTCGCAGGCCAGGACGTCCAGGAGAAGGAAAAAACGCTATGAAGACATAAACTCTTGGCGCTCCGCGCGGACTTCTTGGATCTGCGCTGAACCCCCGTCCCTGGCGCGCGGAGCGCGCCAGGGGCGGCGCCCGAGGCGCCGCCGAGGGGGGGCCCCGCGCGGAGCCGAGGAACCCGCGCGGAGCGCCAAGAGTTTATGCTCGTGGCGCTGTTTCTTCTTCGCATGTCGGCATCGCGTGCCACGTGGCACCGGCAGTTGTCGCAGGTGCCCTCACACCTGTAGGGGGCACCATGCGAACCCGACCCCTGCCCCCCCCACGATCTCTGAGGGCTAGGGTGAGGCTCACTTCGCTCGGGAGCTCCCGAGCGAAGCGACCCCCCCCCTCCCCCTCAGAAATCGTGGGGGCGAGGGTCGGGCTCGCATGTGGCCCCCTCACACCTGGCCCTCGTCTGGCGGAGCGGGTGCCCGTGTGGCGGGCACCGTCCTCTGGGCTCCGCCTGGCTCTGCCGCGCGGCCGGCGGCGGGCCGGGCGGCGCGCACGCGCCGTCGGGCAGCGGGCGGTCGGCGCCGTTCTGCGCGGCCGGCCGCATCCGTGCAGCAGTGCGGAGAGGACCATGTCCGACTATTCGAGCAGGAGATGGACTGCAGAATTTTTTATCCCAGATTGGATTGCCTCGTCGGATCTACGAGCGAAACACGTAGAAACGTTGTAGATCTATAAGCATCCTGCGCATTTTGTGGCAGATCCGACGAGAATGTCAATTTTGGGGCATATCAATTCTGTAGTCGATCTCTCCTACTCGAACTATAGCGCTCGCCAGGACGGCTGCGGCGGGCTCGGGCCACAAACTGCGGGCCCGATTGCCCTGAGATCCGACGGCGCAAGAACAAATACTCCGCGGATTCCATAATGACGTCGGGGGGGTCACATTTGGGGGGGGGGTCTGATTTGAGCTGTCTTTATATTGTCCACATGTTCTGGATGTTCCTCTTCCCCTCCCCTTCCCATATTTCCCCATGTTCGTGGGAATCGACGACTAGTTGTGTCTGTGAGTTTTCCTCCCTCGCGATTCATGGCGACCTCTGGTCGCCCAACTCCGACCAAATTCTGCCCCTGCGCGCCTCCCAAGGTCCACCTGACAACTCGATCATCCCGCCCGGATAGATGTTTGCCCTCTCTGAGGCCTGAGACGTGCCTCCTTGGCGGCGCGCAGAGGGGGATAGGCGAGAAGGGGGAAGGCTTTTTGGGAGGATGCTGCTTGTTGGAAGGCGCGGGCCTTACGTCTACACAAAAAAGTCCCGAGCCTTCCAAGGAGCAGGGGTGCTTCTAAGAAGCCTTCTCCCCCCTCCCCCTATGCACCCCTCCTCGCCATCGCTCGGACGTCCATTCCCTGTGTTTTTGTTCGGTTTCGTGCGTGGTTTTTTCGCCACATGATCAAGGATGCTCCTCGATGGCCCTCGCCGCAGGAAACATGCACACGTCCGAGCGATGCCAAGCCTCTGCGCGTGGCCGACCTCCACAGCCCGAGACTCGGGAAGGGCATCCTTGACCCTCGAGCCGCCACGCCTGCTCGCCTTCGGCGCCGCGCGCCTCTTCGGGCTGGCCGCAGGCCGCGGCGGAGGCGCAGCGGGCAGGTCATGCCGGAAGGCGGTGTGCCGATCGGAGGTCGCAACACTGAGGCCGCCCTGCACCGACGGGGCGCGAGATGGAGAGAGAGAGAGAGAGAAAGAGAGAGAGAGAGAGAGGGAAAGAGAGAGAGAGAGAGAGACGCGACGTCGGGCCCCTGGAGCTCCCCGCAGATCCGTGCGACGGCAAAGCAGCATACAGCCAACCCGCAAGAGAAGGACGCGCGAGCAGATGCAGTGGCCTCGGAAGGCCATGCCAACACTCTGCGGGTGGGGCGCGGCCAGCGAAAGCGGCCCGTAATGGGCCGAAGGGGAAAGATGCAAGGCTAACCCTTCAAACGATGCGAAGATCGGGACAAAATCGGATTGGGATAACTCGAAATCTCTGAGAATCGGCGGGTTTGGAGGATGTATTGGGCGCCGCGGCCGCTCCAGAGCGTTCCGGAACGCTCTGAGAGCGCTCCAGAACGCTCTGGAGCGATTTATCCCGATCCTAGCCCTGTTTTAACCCTGCGGTTGGCTGTAGCGACTGCCAACTTTCAACATCTCTGGCTCCCGAGGGCCACATCCCGCGGCACCAAGACCGTCAGAGCACGACCAAAGATGGAGAGCCGGAGTCCTGGGGAGAGGGTCGCGTCGAGATTCCCGGGCACGCCGCTGGAGCGAAGTCGGAGGAATGGTCGAGACCTCGGAACTCTCGGCCACAGAAAGCAATGCCCGTCGGTCGGAAGAAGTGGGTAGAAGCGTGAAGTGGAAAGGCGGTGAAAGTAGATTGGGCTTCCGCCCGTCCCCTGAAGAGGAAGGAAGAGGGGACGCCACTCGATCATGGCAGTAGGACGGCGCCTGAAGTAGACTGGGATCCAGGCATCCAAGAATCCTCGGCGGTGGACAAACCTCCCTTTAGTAAACCACCCTTTCGTGAAAACGGCCTAGGACTAGGACCGAAACCGACGGACCTGGACCCGCACAAAGGACGGCCGCGACGCCCTCTCGCGAGCCGAACACGGCCAATCCGCCACTCGACGTGGCGGGGTAGGAGGTCTACCAACCTCCACGACCGACAGGCCCCCAGACGAGGCGCGAGGATCAAGGGGCCCAAGGACACATAAACAAATGCACACAAATAAAATGATTCACCATATTTCCCCATATTTTCGGAGTTTTTGTCTTCCCCCCAATTGCCTATACTTCCCATCTCTTCCTGGGAGTCGACGATGAATTGTGTCTGTGTGTTTCATTCCCTCCTGAGAGGAGGGAGGGACCGTCAGGAAGCCTGCGCAGCGGAGACTTCGCCGCAAGCCCTGCCAGGCAGGTTGCGCCTGCCCGCCAGCCGCGGCCCAGCTTCGGCCGGTCTGGCCCTGCCACGGCCCCTCGTGCGCGCCGCCTGGCCAGCGTGCGCGGAGGGTGCTCCGCGGTGGACCCTGCCCTTCGGTTGGCACCACCGGTGTTATGTCGGGCGTGTCCTCCGACAGGTGGATGAAAAAAAAATGCACAAATCGTCCCCCGACTTTTCTTTTGCTATTCTTGAATGTTCCTCCTGTAGAGGGACGTGCCCGACTTCCCACCACTGCGTCTCCCACGGAAGCGCTGGTGGCATGCAGGCCGTCGGTCGCACTGTTCTTTCAGAGGCCCTGCCCCCTTCTCCTCCCCCTCCGCCCCCGCGCCTTTCCCCCGCCTGTCCCCCTTGCCTTCCCCTCTCCCACCCCCTCCCCTTCCCCTCTCTCTTCCCCCCCTGCTATGGGAAGGAGCAGCTGCTCGCCTGGAGACCGTCGGGAGAGGCGGGGGAGGCGGCGATCCGCCGCTGATGGTCAAAACCACTGGGCCCAGGGCGTTTTGGCGTCCTGGTCAGGATTTCGAGGCGAATCCGGTCTTGGCGGCGAGAACCCCCGAGAGGCCAGAATTGAGGGAGCAAGCCCCAGCTGGACAAACAAAAAACAGTCCGCTGGACGTCGGGGTCGTCGTCGTCGCCGCCGCCGTCGTCGTGTTCGTCGCCGCCGCCGCCGCCGCCGCCGCCGCCGTCGTCGTCGTCGTCGTCGTCGTCGTCGTCGTCGTCGTCGTCGTCGTCGTCGTCGTTTTCGTCGTCGTCGTCGTCGTCGTCGTCGGCATCGTCGTCGTCGTCGTTTTCGTTGTCGGCGTCGGCGGCGTCGTCGGCGTCGTCGTCGTCGTCGGCGTCGGCGGCGTCGGTGTTGTCGTCGTCGTCGTCGTCGTCGTCGTCGTCGTCGTCTTCGTCGTCGTCGTCGTCTTCGTCGTCGTCGTCGTCGTCGTCGTCATCGGCGTCTTCGTCGTCGTCGTTTTCGTTGTCGGCGTCGGCGGCGGCGTCGGCGACGTCGTCGTCGGCGTCGGCGGCGGCGTCGCCGTCGTGCGGTGCGCCGGGGCGGCGAGCCGCCTGGCACAGGGAGCCGTCTTCGGAGCCCACGTACGGCGTGTTGGTCTCGTTCTCCGGGAACGACAGGCACATCACCTGCGGGACCGTGGTCGGTGACTTCAAAATGAGTGTGGTTTGCAAGGGGTGTGGTTTGCAACCGGCACCCTGGGGAACATCCTGGGGGGCACCCTACGGGGGCGCGCGGGGACCTCGATAGAGTTCTCCCGCGCCCCGAGGAGGCCCGACGAGGACAGTATCGTGCCTCCCAGGCCCCAACGGTGCCGATCGCAAACCACAGCCCGGCGTAACCGTACCCTTTGTAGTCGCCGAAGTAGGAGGGACGAACCCAGACCTCTGGCGGATCGACTCTTCCAGCGCGGGGCGTGTCTCATTGAGCTCGGCTTCTGGGGGTCGCGTGTGGGCCCCATGGGCCACCAAGAGAAGCTCCGTAACGAGGAGCTACCCCCTGCAAGGAGGCCCCGAAACGGCTCGCAAGACGGCCTCTAGAAGGGCCCCAAGAGCGGCCCAGGACAGAAGGAAGAGAAGAGGGCGCCAGGAGCGTGCGGGCGCCATCTGGCGTGGTGCACGGCCCTTCCCCCCCCCCCCCCCCGCGGAGGCTTACGGTCATCGGGCTGCTGTCAGGAACGCTGGGCACAATTGCGAGAAGAAGAAATCTCGACGGGAAGGCTTGGGCAATTTTTCGGGCATCTGGGGGCCGTTCCCAGGCCCCTGGGGCCGCCAGAAACGACTCAGTATGAAGGGCCAGTCTCAGGGTGCGGACCCAGAGCTCTGAGGGGTTCGCCGTGCGGGCGACGTCATGACGCCAGAGCTCTGGGAAGGAGCGCAAGGACTTTTCTGGCCACCCGGAGCCTCGGCCTCGAAGCGGCCCCCCTGACCCGAAAACCTGCCCCACGGGATCCCACTGTGGCCGCGTCCCGATGGTAGCCGGCCCGGGGACCGAGAGCTCGCGGCGGTTCTTCATCTCGTTCTTCAGGTCGATGGTCTCCTCGGGGGACCCGGCGCGCTCTCTCCCCCCCCCGGAGCGGAGCTCTGGGCGCCGCACCTTTGTTTCGCACCTGGCTTTCTCGCCGAGCTCGGGGTCTGGCCCGCACGGGTCGATCCGACTCGAGAGATGCCGCCGGAAGATGGGGTCAAGGGCTCCAGTCGTGATTTCTCACGATGCTGTTTTCCTTGTTCGCGACGTCGGGTCTCAACGGATCCCGAGCTCCTCCCCGGATCTTAGACATGCTCCCCAAAGAATGCTTGCACTTAGGGGACCTGAGTACTCTTCAACGGAACTGGGCCTGGATGGCGGTCTGGCGGCTCTGTGCTCGCCGTCGCCGCCCAGTCGCCGCCTCGTCGTCGCCCTTCGCCTGCGCCCGACTGGCGGCCTGGCGGCGGTGTGCTTGCCGTCGCCGCCTCGTCGCCGCCCCATCGCTGGCAATATTCTCGTTGCGAAGAGAATATTAGCTTCGTCCCCCCTCCTGGACTCAACCGCTCCCCCTTTCGTACTGCAATTCGCATCTCGCTCTGCCCCTTCGCCCATCCCAGAAATGAACTCATAGCATCCATGCCAAGCCGGTAACGGTTGCCCCCACCATCCTCTGCAGCAACTTTTATGCGCGCGCAATAATCCCTTTGCAAAAAAGAAAACACATACGCGCGGGTCGTCGCTCACACACGCCGGAATCCTTCACACACATTTGGTTTGGTAAAGATATCAAAATTGAACGCTCCAAAAACATAAGAAACCATATGGTTTCACAACCGTAATTTCAAAAGCAAGTGCGTTCGGGCTCCTGCGAATTCGTTAAAAACAGACGTTTCAACATTTTCAAAACATGCTAACAACTGGGCGTGTCGCATGCCAACAATCATTCGAACGCCCTTGCGCGCGTGCTGTCGCAAGAATCCCTTACAACAAATGGGACGACGCACGCGCGCGCGAGTCGTCGCGCGCATGCCGAAGTCCTTCACCAACACCTTGGGCTGGATTTCAAAATCGAGTGCCACGAACACATAGCAAACCATATGGTTTCGCAACATCAATCATCAAAAAACTGCGCTCGTGCTCTTGCGAATTTCAAGGAAACCATACGCTTGTTCACTATTAGCATTAATTCGGCCAAACGGGCTTTTCGCGCCGCATGTCGGCATCATTCGGAAGCCCTTGTGCGCGTGTTGGGGGGCACGATCCGTGTCAATTAAAACCATGTGGGCCACTCTCGCGCGTCGGCCGCGCGCATGTCGAACTCCGTCCAAAACCTTCGTCACCGACGTGAGGACGCCGTCGTCGTCGCCGGCGCGATCAGCATCGGCGCCGTCACTGACCGTGCCGTCGCTGTTGCCTGCCCACGTGGCCGACTCGCACTGAAGTGCCCGCTGGGAAGTGCCCAGAGGTTAGCGCCGTCGCGGCCGCATCGGAGGCGCCAAACTAGCTGGCCGCTGCGCGCGCGAGCATGCGCGGGCTAGCGCGGCCGCGGAGATACACCAGCCAGCACCAAGCACTCATCGCATTCGCCGCCGAATGGGTTTTGCAAGCAAGTTGCGGGTGGGGGGGCCCCTGGATGATTGCGCGAGCAGTGATGTTGACAACTGCGCGTTCCACAAGAGAATTGCGCAACGCAGATTGTACCACATAAATTGCAACGCATCGATTGCACCACATATATTGCACCACATAGATTGCAGCGCATCGAATGCACCACGTAGATTGCGCCACATACATTGCATCACCTAGATTGCACCACGTATGCGCACCATATAGATTTCGAATTCGCCGGCCCAACGGGGCAGAGGCGTGCTAAGATCTCCGGTAACTGCTAAATTATACTTCTACTTCGCGCGCGCGGGGCGGCCCCTGGGGGTCCCCGGACGAAAAGTACCCCAGGCGATCCCCGGCAGGGTCGGATCAGAGATGGTTTTCCTCCTGGGCGCCGCCTCCGTGGCCCTCCAGAGAGCCCCAAGAAGGGCCACGAGGCCGCCAAGAGCCCTCCAAGATGGTTCAAGAGTGCTCCGAGATGCCACACGATCGTTCCAAGACGCCCAAGATGGCCCCCAGACGCCCCAAGAGGCCTCCAAGAGCACTCCCCAGAGGGCCCCAAGAGGCAACATCTTACTTCTCCTTAGGTTTTGGGCAGATTTTGGCGTGTCCATCTTTTCGGCTTCCCGACGCCCCAAGACGGCCCAAGAGGCCCCCAAGATCGCCCCAAGAGGGCCCAAGAAGCTCCCGAGAAGGCCCCAAGATGGCCCAAGAGGGCTCCAAGACGGCCCCAGAGGCATCCAAGACGGCCCAAGAGGGGCCCAAGAGGGCCCCAAGCGATGCCCCAAAGGGGGAACACAAAACAAAACTTCGAGCCCTCGGCCTTAAGAAGCCCCCAATAGGCCTCAAGAGGCCCCTGAGAGGCCCCAAAAGCCCCCAAGAGGCCCTCAGGAGGCCCCCAAGCGACGCCGAGGAGGCCCCCCAGCGGCCGCAAGAGGCTCAGTCATGCGAAATGGGCCGGCGGAATGAGCGAAGCGATTCAATAAAACGAATTGCGCAACTGATATTGCACAACATGTATTGCACCACATAGGTTGCACCACACAGATCGCACCACATCGATTACTCCACATGGGTTGCATCACATACATTGCACCACGTATATTGCACAACATAAACTGTACACCATCTATTGCTCGGCATAGATTGGTTGCGCCCCAGAGATTGCACCACACGTGCTGCTCCACGCAGATGGCCCGAAATGGTTTGCACCATAAATATTGCGCAAAACTTATTTTGCACGGCGTAGATATACTGCACAACGTAGGTTGCACAACAGACATTGCACCACGCAGAATGCTTCACATAGATTGCACCACGTAGGTTGCTCCGCAAATATGGCACTACGTAGATTGAACTACATATAGAGCACAACAAACATTGCACCACATAGATTGCACAACATATACGGCTGGAACCACACTGTTTGAGGTCCACGCAAGTTCGCAGGTTTCATGAGACAACTGCAATGGTCTGGTGCTGCCTGGGCGGCAACGACGGCACGCCGCACTGCGGTCAACCTTTCAAGTGGAGGTCGACGCCAGCCTTTACGCGGCCAGCTCGCGGCCAAACTGCGTGCGCAGCGCTTAGTCATGGACGCGAGATGCGTATGGGCTTGCTGCGCATGTTTGCCCCGTCCACCCAACAATGTCGATCGCAATTCGCAGCGCTGTCCCCCAAAATACAAAACAACAAACCACGTTCGCACCGAACTTCCGGACACGAAACGGAGATAACACATGTACGAAACGACCCCGGAACATATCCGAACAACCCCGGCAACAATATGCGGGACACATCCCCAGAACAAACATGGCACAACTTCCAGGAAACAAAACGCGCATCTGAAAAACACTACCACAAATACCTTTGAGTCAGTAGACATTTTTCTATGTAGAGCATGCTGAAACATACTTCTGATCATTCCCGAATCATTCCTGGCGACGCTGGGTGACCTTGTGGGTCGGACGGACAGGACGGTCGAACTGGGCGGGACGGGCCTGACTACTACAATGGCCTGACGTCCAGGATTAGAACGAACGGCCTGGACAGCAGAAGGGACAGACAGTCATCGGCGCCAAGGAACCAATATGGGCATTCAAGTGTACTGATGTCTATGCACGCGTTTAAACTCTCAATCGACGTGAACGACTGTTTGCGTAGCGCGTGTGACGATATCAGCGCCCATCCTGCCGATGACAGGGAGCTGCGGGCCACGATCGCATATTCTGCAGCAACAGGCACCAGAAACAGCTGCAGAAAATCTTGCGAATTTTATCTTTTTCCTTCTCAGCCCTGGGGGGAGCCCGCGCATGGTAGACGAAAGAGGGCACAGGAGCGCTTTTTTTATTCGCGGCCATAGCGGGCGTTACGGGGGGGGGTGGACGGGAGCGGGAATAACGTAGAGCTCCCCCCCCAAACTGTGGGGCTGGACGCACTGTGGCAATGCCAGGGACACACTGAGAGGGGGAGCGTTGCGTTATGGAGGGGGAAGGGGGGGGGGAAGGTAGGGAGCATAACGCGGGTTATGGCCCAGAGGTAACCAAAAACACTCACGAGGGCACAGGAGGGGCGAGGAGGCAAAGAAGGATCCATTCCTCCCCGTGTCCTGTACACGAATCCAAACGGAAGGCGTTTGGCAAGTGTCGGCATCTGGGGGCCTTCTCCTGGCCCGGTGGCCACCGCCAACGTGCGCAGCATGAGAAGCCGATCCCCTTGTAAGAGGTCGACATCCGTGGGAACCAACGTCGCGAAACACATGCGTCGTCGGAGGGGCATGGGGGGAAAAGAGGGGTGAGGAGGTCGAGGGGGAGGAGGGGTGGGAGGACCCTGGGCTGGACTTTTCGCTGAGGTTATGAACAGCCTTTGAGGAGCAGAAGTGGAGCCCATACGGGATGCGCATTGCGAGCGCGCCTGAGGCACTGTGGCGCCTTCAAGCGTACTGCGCACGCGTGATGGCAGCAACCATCCCATGGGGGAGGATGTGCCGCGTTCCCAACGAGGAGGAGGAGAAGGAGGAGGAGGAGGAGGAGAAGAGGAGCAATAGGAGGGGGAGGAGGAGGAGGAGGAGGAGGAGGAGGAGGAGGAGGAGGAGGAGGAGGAGGAGGAGGAGGGGGAGGAGGAGGAGGAGGGGGGGAGGAAGAGGAGGAGGAGGAGGAGAAGGAGGAGGAGGAGCAGGAGGAGAAGGAGGAGGCGGAGAGGGAGGAGGGTGGGGAGGAGAAAGAGGAGGAACCTCTCCTCCGACGTGGCAACGTGTTGGTGACGCGGACACCCAAGAATCTCGACCCCTTCCCGGGACCAACTTCTCATCCTGAATCGTCTTTTCGACGGTACAGGTCCGGGACAAGAAGCCGGCCGTCGCGATTTTTTCGGAGGCCCAGATCTAAGGGTCCGGGCGGACGGGACAGGGGGGGACAACAGAAAAAGGGTTTGGCGAATCAATGGCACTTAGCCTGTGTTCCCGGCGCCTCCTGGCGATGGAGGCGCCAGGGAGAAGGCCTAGCGGCGGGGCCGAAACCGGGTGCAGGACGCAGACTGCGTACCCCCGCCCACCCTTCCGACTCCGCCCTACTTTCGTCCGACCTGAGAGGGGAGGGGGAAGAAAGAGAAACTGGCCATTCAAAGATTTGGCCCAGGACCTGATAGGGCGAGACTGATGTCACGATCAGACTGGCCCAGGAAGCGTTCCATGATTTCCAGAGCATCTACTGGCCCTCGTTTCTGCATCCTGTGTGGAACATTTTTTTGTTGTTCTTCTTCTTCTTCTGCTTCTTCTTCTTATTCCCAACCATCCTGTGGTGTTGGGTCCTCGTTTTGAAGAGACAGCGCCCCGCGTCCACTCCTCCCGCTGCCCCCTCCTCCCTCCTCCCCCTCCTTGCCTCTGCTCTCGGCACACCGCTCACGCGTTTCGTAGCCCCATAGGGAGCTCCACCGAAGGCCCCAGTGGGGGTGTTCGCATGCGGTTCCCCCACCCAGGGCAGCGTTTCGTGGCCCCATAGGGAGCTCCACCGAAGGCCCCAGTGGGGGTGTTCGCATGCGGTTCCCCCACCCAGGGCAGCGTTTCGTGGCCCCATAGGGAGCTCCACCGAAGGCCCCAGTGGGGGTGTTCGCATGCGGTTCCCCCACCCAGGGCAGCGTTTCGTAGCCCCATAGGGAGCTCCACCGAAGGCCCCAGTGGGGGTGTTCGCATGCGGTTCCCCCACCCAGGGCAGCGTTTCGTGGCCCCATAGGGAGCTCCACCGAAGGCCCCAGTGGGGGTGTTCGCATGCGGTTCCCCCACCCAGGGCAGCGTTTCGTAGCCCCATAGGGAGCTCCACCGAAGGCCCCAGTGGGGGTGTTCGCATGCGGTTCCCCCACCCAGGGCAGCGTTTCGTGGCCCCATAGGGAGCTCCACCGAAGGCCCCAGTGGGGGTGTTCGCATGCGGTTCCCCCACCCCAGCGTTTCGTGGCCCCATAGGGAGGGAGGCCCCAGCGCGTTCGTTTCCCCCATAGGGAGCTCCACCGAAGGCCCCAGTGGGGGTGTTCGCATGCGGTTCCCCCACCCAGGGCAGCGTTTCCCCATAGGGAGCTCCACCGAAGGCCTCCACCGTGGGGGTGTTCGCATGCGGTTCCCCCACCCAGGGCAGCGTTTCGTGGCCCCATAGGGAGCTCCACCGAAGGCCCCAGTGGGGGTGTTCGCATGCGGTTCCCCCACCCAGGGCAGCGTTTCGTAGCCCCATAGGGAGCTCCACCGAAGGCCCCAGTGGGGGTGTTCGCATGCGGTTCCCCCACCCAGGGCAGCGTTTCGTAGCCCCATAGGGAGCTCCACCGAAGGCCCCAGTGGGGGTGTTCGCATGCGGTTCCCCCACCCAGGGCAGCGTTTCGTGGCCCCATAGGGAGCTCCACCGAAGGCCCCAGTGGGGGTGTTCGCATGCGGTTCCCCCACCCAGGGCAGCGTTTCGTAGCCCCATAGGGAGCTCCACCGAAGGCCCCAGTGGGGGTGTTCGCATGCGGTTCCCCCACCCAGGGCAGCGTTTCGTGGCCCCATAGGGAGCTCCACCGAAGGCCCCAGTGGGGGTGTTCGCATGCGGTTCCCCCACCCAGGGCAGCGTTCGTGGCCCCATAGGGAGCTCCACCGAAGGCAGTGGGGGTCGCATGCGGTTCCCCCACCCAGGGCAGCGTTTCGTGGCCCCATAGGGAGCTCCACCGAAGGCCCCAGTGGGGGTGTTCGCATGCGGTTCCCCCACCCAGGGCAGCGTTTCGTGGCCCCATAGGGAGCTCCACCGAAGGCCCCAGTGGCTGCTCTCGCATGCGGTTCCCCCACCCAGGGCAGCGCTTCGTGGCCCCATAGGGAGCTCCACCGAAAGCCCCCGTGGCGCAGTTCGCATGCGCTTCCCCCACCCAGGGCAGCGTTTCGTGGCACCATAGGGAGCTCCACCGAAGGCCCCAGTGGCGCAGTTCGCATGCGGTTCCCCCACCCAGGGCAGCGTTTCGTAGCCCCATAGGGAGCTCCACCGAAGGCCCGCCCCGGTGGCGCAGTCCGCATGCGGTTCCCCCATCCAAGGCAGCGCTTCGTGGCCCCATATGGAGCCCCACCGAAAGCGGCACCCACAACGCGTTACCAACAATTGCTTATGGTTGGGTCTTTCGCCAGGATAATTTTTTCTTGGAAATCTGCGGAATCTTCGAACGTGTTATTCTCATGAACTCTTGCTTCTCTGATCAGCGGCTCCCTCTCTCTCTCTCTCTGCTGGTGCATGTCCAGGCCGGCGCCTCGCCTCTTTGCTCCCGCCGCTTCCCGTGGCCACCCCGCTCTGCGCGCTGCCTGCTGTGCACAACTCTGAGACCGCATGGATCTCTCGACCTTGCAAGATCGCGGCTTTCCGAAATCGTTCGACATCGGCCAGTGCAATGCTGGTAACGTTCAACGGTGAACGTCCACGGAACGCCCACACTGAGCTCGCCGCCGCGTCGACACGACAGAACACCTGACGTACGTCCTGCGGCAGCGCTCGTACCGCAGCATCGAGGAGTGTCGTCTGGACCACGCGCAACGTTGCGTTAATTACCTCCTCACTGTCCTCCTCCTATTCCCGATCATGATTATCCTCCCTCCCAAGTCTTTGCATACACCAAGGTTGCCATCCAATTGCTTGTTCCCCTGCTCCGCCAATCGATCCTTCTTAATCCAACACCATGGTACAACAAAAGCATCAATTCATGACTCGTCCAGGCCGTACCAAAAAGCATCAAGCAGACCACCGTGGCAAACACATCGAGGCGCCAATCCACCACAGCCCTGGCAGGCACAACAGGTCGCCCAGGTGCCAAAGAGATGGGCACGAGACGGAGAACACGATCGCTCAGACTTGAACGATCGACCATTTCAGCAACGCTGGACAGTTCAACAGTGGGCCGACTCTGGGCCACGGGCGGCTTTCAACCTTGAACGCCCGCGCTGGGGTCGCCGCCAATCAACACGACGCGAACCTACCGTAGTCTATCGTTTCCCGAACGGTACGGCCAGAAAGCGCCCGCCACGAAGCTGATAATACAAACAAATGTCTCGGCGTGCGCGCGCGCATCGCCCCTTCGCAAGCGTCGTGCACGTAAAATTCGTGTGTTGGGGTGGCGCCAGAATAGGACTGGAGGAGGAGGAGGAGGAGGAGGAGGAGGAGGAGGAGGAGGAGGAGGAGCAGGAGGAGGAGGAGCAGGAGGAGTAGGGGGGGAAGTGGAGGAGGAGAAGGAAGGAGGGGAGGAGGAGGGAGGAGGGGGGAAGTGGAGGAGGAGGAGGAGGAGGAAGAGGAGGAGGAGGAGGAGGAGGAGGAGGAGGAGAAGGAGGAAGAGGAGGGGGGAAGTGGAGGAGGGGGAAGTGGAGGAGGCGGAGGAGGGGGAGGAGGAGGAAAGGAGGGGGGAAGAGGAGGAGGAGGAGGAGGAGGAGGAGGAGGAGGAGGAGGAGGAGGAGGAGGAGGAGGAGAACGAGAAGAGGAGCAATAGGAGGAGGAGGAGGAGGAGGAGGAGGAGGAGAGGAGGAGACGAAGGGGGGGAGGAGAGGAGGAGGAGGGAGGAAGGAGAGGAGGAGGAGGAGGGAGGAGGAGGAAGAGGAGGGGGGAAGTGGAGGAGGGAAGTGGAGGCGGAGGAGGAGGAGGAGAGGAGGAGGAGGAGGAGGAGGAGGAGGAGGAGGAGAAGGAGGAAGAGGAGGGGGGAGGAGGAGGAGGAGGAGGAGGAGGAGGAGGAGGAGGAGGAGGAGGAGGAGGAGGAGGAGGAGGGCTGCACCGATCTTGCTGCTCCTGCCCGCTGCCCCCTGGACGGTCCTCGGCCCCGAGCGGCGGCCCCCCGACGTATGCTGCTCCCATCGCACTCGAGGACCACATCCCAGCAATTGGCGGCGAGCGAGGGGGGGAAGTGAGAAGGGGCGGGGCTTCTCAGAAGGCTCGGAAGTCCCCCGGCCTTCTGAGAGGTTTTCTAGGCCTTCCCCGAAGACGCACAAACAACTTCTCAGAAGGCGCGAGGGCTTCGGAGAAGTGCCGCCGCCTTCTGAGAAGGCCTTCTCCTTCTCCCTTCCCCCCCTCGCTCGCCGCCGAAGTAATCGTTTCGAGCACCCAAGGAAAGTATCGAGACTGTGTCGAGCGAGCCTCGCCTCCCAGGGACCGACGCATGCAAGCCCTCCAGTGTTTCGGTGCTCTCCCGGTGCTCGAAGTTATTTTCTGGCGATCGAGGTCAAGGTAGGTTGGAGCATCCCAGCCCCCGACGAGCCGCCGCAGCGCTCCTGGGGCTCTTTGAGGGTGGCCAGGGACCACACGCACATGCGGCCGTCGTTGGATGCGGAGATGAGGTTCGTCGCGTTCTGCGTGCCGACCTCGCAGGGGGGGGGATAGCGTCCTTGCCCTCATCGTTTTTGCGGTGTCCTTGTCCTCCTCTTCATGCTGGTGGTGGTGGTGGTGGTGGTCGTCGTCTCATGCTGCTCCGTACCTCCTTCCTCCTCCTCCTGCTCCTCCTCCTCCTACTGCTCTCTCTCTCCTCCCGTCATCCTCCTCCTCCTCCTCCTCCTCCTCCCCCCGAGACCACATGCGCGCGACTACGACTGCGGCACGCCTTGAACACCCTGTGGGTGCCGTGGGTTGGGGCCGAGGCGCCAACAACGACTGGTGCAGTCACACGGGAGCAAGCTCTGAACGCCGGCGGCATCGGATCGGCGGAGACGGCAGACACGAGAGAAGCTCTGCCTGGTCCCCTGAGCCCCAGATTCGGCCAAAACTGGTGCGCCCCCCACAGGCGTCAACGCCAGCATCTCGAAGATGATTAAGCTCAACCGAACATGATGGACCTCGAACGAGACTTTCGCCCGCGCCGACACGCAGCGACGAATCGTGCGAAATATAACAAGGACACTGCTTGAGCGGAGAGGTGCGGCCAGGGAACACGCGACCAAGCTTCAGCGAAAAGCCTACAAAAATTCGCATGTCCATGAGAAAACCCCAGACTCCCATTGCCACATCAAGCAGCGACATCTCGCAGACCGGGAAGGCCTCTGGCGCCGCCTCTGGCGAGCTTCGCGCGCCCTTGACGGGGGGGGGGGGGGGGGAACGCCGACCAAAAAATATCCGCGCGGACCTCCCGCGCTTGCATATGCCTGTAGATTCTGCTCCCCCGACCAGGAGCTCCCCCGACACCACTTCGAACGACGTCCGCCTGGCAGGACCCCAGGGCAGCAGACCTGAGCTGGATCGAATCGCTGACTCTGCTCGGCTCGGACCGCCAACCAACCGCCCTCATCGGGTCTAAGATTATGTTGCTCCCATCGTACTTCAAGACCACATCCCAGAAATAATTTCGAGCACCCGGAAGAGTGTCAGAAGAGGGTCGAAACAGTGTCGGGCGAGTGTCCCCCAGGGCCCGATACGTGAAAACCATTGAGTTTCGGTACTATTTTGGGTGCTCGAAATTCTCTCTGGCGATCAAGGCCAAAGTAGGTTGGAGCATCCCGAGTCTAAGGATCGGATCGCCGCGCCAGGCGCCCGCTGCCCCTGGCCGATGCTGGCCCCACCGAACGAGCGAACGCGGGAGACGTGCGCGCTCCCCGCGAGGGAGCTCGCCCGTGCCCATCAAGGGCATGTCGTGGAGGCCGTGGCCTCCCGAGCATTTTCTTAGGGTGGAGGGCTCAGGGTGGAATCCAGATGGGCTCTTCAATCAATCAATGCCATGCAGTTCATGGCACTTGTGTTTTCGCACGAGCTCCCTATGGGGCCACGAAGCGTGTCAGGGTGTATGCCGCAATGAAGCGGCCAGGACGCCGTGTCTGCACGACACATCGGCTAAAGCAGTGCCGCTGGCCGGAGGCGTGAGTCCGCCATGGCACAAGGCAAGGGCAGTTCACAATCTACTGGCCCAGCGTTTGCCTGGCGGAAGGAACTGGCTGCCATGGCTTATGCTGGGCTTATGCTGGCTGCCATGGCATATAGGCTTTTGCACCTCGAGAATCAACCCGTCTTGTGGTCCGCCTCTTGCAGATTCAAGCCTCGAAAAAACCAGTCGAAGCGGCACTTCAGATTCCACCCCCTGTCCTCCACCCAAAGAAAATTCCCGGGCCTCAAAGATGTGAAAAATCAGCAGAATCCATGCGAAAGCCACCACTCACGAAGCGAATCTTTGGACGCCCGAAATGGGCACAATGCCCAACAGCAAATGTTGTCCCGCACCAGCAGCGGCCGCTGTTTGGCAGGCGGCCTTCTGTCTCAAATGGACACGATCCGCGGCGACGCCGACAGCGAATCCTGTTCAAAATGAACAAGAACTGCTGTCGGTCTTTGTACCCATTCTTTCCGTACCCATGTCGGTCGTCCCAAGAATCGAATCAGCATCGACTCGCCGCCCCGGCTGGCGCATCGCAGCTCGCCGAGCCGGACTCGTGGGCGGCCTCGCCTGGCGCGCCCTCTGCGGGGGATGCGCGAAGGCACCGCGCGGGGCAGCGCGGCTGCTGCTGCGGGCCCCTCGCGGGCAGCGGGGGCGGGGGAGGCAGGGCGCCGGCGAAGCACTCGACCGCAGCACCGCAGGACCGCCCCTCCGGCCCAGGGCGGCGCCACGAGAATCGCGACGGCCCACCTTTTCACTGGTGAGCATTTCTTATTCGGCGCTTCGACATTGGGCGACGGCCCACCTTTTCACTGGTGAGCATTTCTTATTCGGCGCTTCGACATTGGGCGGAAGGGAGGGGGGAGGGGGGGGGTCTGGCTCCGGACCTCTGCCTAGTGCAACTGTTTGCGACAGTGCGTCCTATGAGGGGAGGCTCCACCTGCTCGAAACAGGCGCCAAAAACACCCAAGATCTAGTCCATGGGGGGGTGCACCATGGGGGTGCAAGGGGCTGCGCCGATCGGCAAAACAATGCAGAAATTATCCTGGCGAAAGACCCAACCATAAGCAATTGTTGGTAACGCGTTGTGGGTGCCGCTTTCGGTGGGGCTCCATATGGGGCCACGAAGCGCTGCCATGGATGGGGGAACCGCATGCGGACTGCGCCACCGGGGCGGGCCTTCGGTGGAGCTCCCTATGGGGCTACGAAACGCTGCCCTGGGTGGGGGAACCGCATGCGAACTGCGCCACTGGGGCCTTCGGTGGAGCTCCCTATGGTGCCACGAAACGCTGCCCTGGGTGGGGGAAGCGCATTCGAACTGCGCCACGGGGGCTTTCGGTGGAGCTCCCCATGGGGCCACGAAGCGCTGCCCTGGGTGGGGGAACCGCATGCGAGATCAGCCACTGGGGCCTCCGGTGGAGCTCCCTATGGGGCCACGAAACGCTGCCCTGGGTGGGGGAACCGCATGCGACCTCAGCCACTGGGGCCTTCGGTGGAGCTCCCTATGGGGCCACGAAGCGCTGCCCTGGGTGGGGGAACCGCATGCGAACACCCCCACTGGGGCCTTCGGTGGAGCTCCCTATGGGGCCACTAAACGCTGCCCTGGGTGGGGGAACCGCATGCGAACACCCCCACTGGGGCCTTCGGTGGAGCTCCCTATGGGGCTACGAAACGCTGCCCTGGGTGGGGGAACCGCATGCGAACACCCCCACTGGGGCCTTCGGTGGAGCTCCCTATGGGGCCACGAAACGCTGCCCTGGGTGGGGGAACCGCATGCGAACACCCCACTGGGCCAGTTCGTGGAGCTCCCTATGGGGCTACGAAACGCTGCCTGGGTGGGGAACCGCACATGCGAACACCCCACTAGGGCCTTCGTGGGAGCTCCCTGTGGGGCACGAAGAAAACGCTGCCCTGGGTGGGGGAACCTCTCCAAATGCGAACACCCCCCTGGGGCCTTCGTGGAACTCCCTATGGGTCTAAGAAACGCTGCCGGCTACGAAACGCTGCCCTGGGTGGGGGAACCGCATGCGAACACCCCCACTGGGGCCTTCGGTGGAGCTCCCTATGGGGCCACGAAACACTGCCCTGGGTGGGGGAACCGCATGCGAACACCCCCACTGGGGCCTTCGGTGGAGCTCCCTATGGGGCCACGAAACGCTGCCCTGGGTGGGGAACCGCATGCGAACACCCCCACTGGGGCCTTCGGTGGAGCTCCCTATGGGGCCACGAAACGCTGCCCTGGGTGGGGGAACCGCATGCGAACACCCCCACTGGGGCCTTCGGTGGAGCTCCCTATGGGGCTACGAAACGCTGCCCTGGGTGGGGGAACCGCATGCGAACACCCCCACTGGGGCCTTCGGTGGAGCTCCCTATGGGGCCACGAAACGCTGCCCTGGTTGGGGGAACCGCATGCGAACACCCCCACTGGGGCCTTCGGTGGAGCTCCCTATGGGGCTACGAAACGCTGCCCTGGTGGGGGAAACCGCATGCGAAAACCCCTCTGGGGCCATCCGGTGACTCCCTTATGGGGCCACGAACCTACTGCCCTGGGTGAAGAACCGCATGCGAATCACATCCCCACTGGGTGCCTTTCGGTGGACTCCTATGGGTCTACGAAAGGCTGCCCTGTTGGTGGGGGAAACCGCAAATGCGAACACCCCCCCTGGGGCCTTCGGTGGAGCTCCCTATGGGGCGACGAAACGCTGCCCTGGGTGGGGGAACCGCATGCGAACACCCCCACTGGGGCCTTCGGTGGAGCTCCCTATGGGGCCACGAAACGCTGCCCTGGGTTGGGGAACCGCATGCGAACACCCCCACTGGGGCCTTCGGTGGAGCTCCCTATGGGGCTACGAAACGCTGCCCTGGGTGGGGGAACCGCATGCGAACACCCCCACTGGGGCCTTCGGTGGAGCTCCCTATGGGGCTACGAAGCGCTGCCCTGGGTGGGGGAACCGCATGCGAACACCCCCACTGGGGCCTTCGGTGGAGCTCCCTATGGGGCCACGAATCGCTGCCCTGGGTGGGGGAACCGCATGCGAACACCCCCACTGGGGCCTTCGGTGGAGCTCCCTATGGAGCCACGAAGCGCTGTAATGGGTGGGTGAAACGCAGAGAGGAGGGAGGAGAGGGTGGAGGAGGGAGGAGGAGGGGGAGGAGGAGGAGAGGAGGAGAGGAGGAGAGGAGAGGACGCGGGCACCGTCTCTTCAAAACGAGGACCCAACACCACAGGATGGTTGGGAAAAACATTGCTTTCCAATGCAGGTGTCGCTCGCCTTGCGCATCGCTTATAGAAAAACAACAATTCGGGAGCTAAAAATGCAGTGGCTGCACGTCAACATGCAAGTACTTGCAACTACTTGCGCTCAGTTAGCGCAACTTGTAAGTTCCGAAACCAACTTGCTAAGTCTGCTAAATCTTACAACCACCCAAGTTCACCACAGCAGGCGCCGCGGGGGAAGGGGGGCGCGCCGCCCGGGGCGGATGGCGCACCTCGAAGGAGAAGGACGGCGGGCGCACCACCCAGAGCGGACGGCGCGCCCGAAAAGAAGCACCTGATCGGCGCGCAAATGCATGAAAAAGGGGACGGCACCTCCCAGGGAGAAGGCACCGAACCGCCAACGCGGATGCATCGCCGAGGCAGGGTCGCCCGGGGGATGGAGCGCTCCGAGCACGCCCCGATCGATGGACAAACCAAGTCTGGAGGCTATAGGTATACGCGGGACTGGCCACGGGAAGGCCAATACGCTCCGCTGGCCCGCTGGCCCCCCTGGCCTGCCTCGCCAGCGGCCCGGGCCAGTCGGCCCCGCCGCCGCTGCCGCGCGTCGCCCCCGTCAACCTCCAGGCGGCGGCACTGGCACAGGGCGCGAATATCGCGGCGGCGCGCGGCCAGGTCTCCAAGGAACTCGCGGCAGAAGTCGTCGAAGCCGACGGGGTTACACAGACCCCTGCCCCACCCCTCGCCGCCCCACCAGTTGCGCGCCTCCCACCCTTCTACGAGGAGTACGCGCGCCAAGGGTGCCCCTGAGGCGGTCGATGGCATCCGACCAGGTCTCGTCGCGGCGCCCCCTCGAGACCCACTGCGGGCCCCATCGGACGTCGTGGCGGCGCCTTGTACAAGCGGTCGCATGGGTCACTCCAGTCTCCGCGTTGGCACTCGTCGTCGCCCCCGTCCGCGGGCCCCCCCGCCGGGTTTGCCGCGCCAGTGGCCGCTCCTGGTCCGGGACCTCCAGCGGAAGCCGCCGGTGCCATCGCCAGCCCATCTCGACCTCGCTGGGGCCTTGTAGCGCGCTGCTCACCAGGACGCTGCACCCCGCGCGGCGCTTGCAGCCCCGCCGCCCGCCTCGGCGCCCCCTCGCGTCGCCTCGCTGGCCAGGGGCGCGACGGCGCCGTCCGCTTGGCCAGCCAACTCAGAGGACGTTCGCTACAAAATTATCCCGGCAAAGAAACCTAACAGCGATATGTAGAAGCATATCTGAAAGCATTCCCCTTAAGATTCAGATGAAAATCCAGTTGTAGAATTCTGCTGTTCTCGCAGTCGTAGTCGCATTCGCGATGACAGTCGCAGCGGCAACGGCAGTCGCAGTCACAGCCTCAGCCTCAGCCTGCCTCAGCCTCAGCCTCAGCCTGCCTCAGCCTCAGCCTGCCTCAGCCTCAGCCTCAGCCTTCTTCAGCCTCAGCCTCAGTCTGCCTTCAGCCTCGGCCTCAGCCTCAGCCTGCCTCAGCCTCAGCCTGCATCAGCCTCAGCCTCAGCCTTAGCCTGCCTCAGCATCAGCCTGCCTCAGCCTCGCCTCAGCCTGCCTCAGCCTCAGCCTCAGCCTCAGCCTTCCTCAGCATCAGCATCACCTGCCTCAGCATTCAAAATGTGGCCCAGGAATGGAGTTCTGGGAACTCGAAGAACACGAAGTGGCCTACAGTTGGCTCCGGGCATTCAAAATCATCCAGGAATGGAGTTCTGGGAACTCTTGAAGAGCACGAAGTGGCCTACAGTTGGCTCCGGGCATTCAAAATGTGGCCCGGGAATGGAGTTCTGGGAAATCGAAGAGCACGAAGTGGCCTACAGTTGGCTCCGGGCATCCAAAATGTGGCCCGGGAATGGAGTTCTGGGAACTCGAAGAGCACGAAGTGGCCTACAGTTGGCTCCGGGCATTCAGAATGTGGCCCGGGAATGGAGTTCTGGGAGGTCGAAGAGCACGAAGTGTGTGACTGTTGACGAAAAACGAGCCCGGCTCTGTTCCCGGTTCTCCAGAATGTGGCCCGGGAATGGAGTTCTGGGAGGTCGAAGAGCACGAAGTGTGTGACTGTTGGCGAAAAACGATTCCCGGTTCTCCTCCCCGGCACCCGCCCAGACCCCCCTGAGGAGTCATGATGCTCTCTTTTGACCCCACTAGAAAACTATCAGCAAACGCTGTTAGGTAAAAAACCTCAAACGAAGGGACAAAAACAAACTTAACACGCCGCGACAGTTCAGCGAAGGAAAAATCGCATTTTGTGGTGCGCGGCGAAAAATAATTCTCACAACACAAAAAAGGGGGCGCCCAAAAACTTGCGCGACCAAAAAAACTGTGTTTTTCGCATACATGTGTTTACATGCGTGTACACATGCACATTCCATAAATCAATGTGCATACATAAATATATTCGAATATGTAACCAGTATCGCAACACACTTGGCGTTCCCGACGCACGCGTTGGAATTGAGCGCGGCATGTAGACTCAGCTGGAGGATTCGTTGGCCAGAACGCGCGCGCTACACTCGATGGGCCACGGCAAATCCGGATCATGCCATAACGCCACTATAGCCCCGACCATCCAACGGCGGAGTGGCGTAGGCCATTATGATTACGATCATCGTCATTGTCATCCTTCGTGCGTTTCTTCTGTTGTTTGTTATTTCCCTGTTACACCAGAGTGAACGGGCCGAACGGTCATTCATTGTTCCAGTGGGTATCAGTGGTGAGAGTTACGCTTGTTGCGTTATTACGCTGTTGTTTCTTTGCTGTCGTCGCCCCACCCGCGACCCACCCCGCGACCCACCCGCGACCCACGCCGCGAACCACCCGCAACCCAACCCGCGACCCACCCGCGACCCACCCCGCGACGCCCCCGTGACCCGCCCGCGACCCACCCGCGACCCACCCCGCGACCCACCCGCGACCCGCCCGCGACCCACCCCACGACCCACTTGCGACCCCCCCGCGACCCCACCCTCGACCCACCCGCGACCCACCCGCGACCCAACCCTCGACCCGCCCGCGACCCACCCGCGACCCACCCGCGACCCAACAGCCGCCGACGACGACGACGACGACGACGACGACGACGACGACGACGACGACGACGGCGACGGCGAAGATGGCAACTGATCCCTCGGGGCAACGGCGGCGACTGTAACGGCGACAACGGCGGCCCGACGGCGACGGGGAGGAGGAGAAAGGACAAACCGAGAGAGGACAAACCGTAGCACCCAGCAGATATGGATAAGAGCGAGGGGGCGGTGGGGGACGTCGACTCGGCAGTCTGCGAGGTTCTGAAGAAGCCCGCCGCAAGCGCCAAAGTTTCACAAATTATACAACGAGCCCGCCGCAGGCGCCGATTTTGTTGTTAAACCAATGTGGGTACGTCGCAGGTGGGTCGCAGATGGCTCGCGGCTGGGTCGCGGGTGGGTCGCGGGTGGGCGGCGGCGGCGGCGGCGTCGGCGTCGGCGTCGGCGCCGCCGCCGTCGCCGCCGCCCCCGCTACCAGCTGCCAATCACCATCGGCGCTGGCGTTGCCAGCCGCCGCTCACGATCGCGGCCTATCTCGATCGGCGTCCACGCGGCATCGCCGCCACCGTCGCCGCTGCCCGGTCCTGTCGCGCATCGCGCGCCCAGGATGGCGGCTGGCCTGCTGGGGCAGCTGCTGTCGCGCCCTTCGCCGCGGGCCCTGCCGCGGGTGATCCTGCGGGCCGCCTGACCTCGGCTGCCACTGTCGAACCTGCTGTTGGCTTTGTCATTGGACTACGGCGCTCTCCTGGCTCTGAGGACCTTCCCAGCCGCGTCTGTCCTTATGTAGGCGCCATGGGGCTTGTGCTGGTCGGGGTACAAATAGGCCAGCGCCTGCGCTCGGGCGATCGGGAGGCGCCGCCACGTCGGACCAGGGACGCTCGGCGCCGCTAGCTCCATGCGGCCTCGACTGTAACCTTCGCCCTCTCTTCAGGATCGGAAAGAGGAGTAGCGCGCTGCCTCTCAGTAGCCATATCCAGAAGGTTCGCGGCGTCAGCGAATTTGGTGCGGTCCGAGAAAAGCCTAAAAGATCGTCGGCGATCCTGGCGGCCCGCTGCGCCATGCGCTGGTCCAGGTCGTCAGCCAGGTCGTCGATACTGGAGGCGGCGGGCGTCGTCCTCATATTCAGCGGGTCGGCGCCTAGCTCGATGTTAGGCGTCGCCTTGTAACGCGGCCGCGGGATGCCAAGATAGACCATGACGCCCCGCGCAGTACTATCGGGCATTCCAAGCCTTCTCGTTGAAAGCACGCACCCAATCCGGGAAAGCGGAAGGCCGCACACCGTTTCCTGCTTGAACACGCCGCGAATACGCTCGTCGGGGCGGAAGGCGAACATTCCGAGCGGAGGCTCTCGAGGCATCCACGACATGGCAGGCTCCGCCGTTGGGCACCCGTCGCATTTCCTGGTGTATCCCCTGCGCGCACCCTGCGCTCCGAACTTACACTCTTCCGTCAGGTTCGGATGGTGGTGCCTACTGCCGCTGGATTGTGGGATCCTGTCTGCGTTAGGAAGAAGTCCGCCAACAGGGTGCTGTTTTTCGGCTTCACCACCTGGCACCCACGGGGGAGCGGGCGCCGCGCGTGCTGGGCAGCCTCGAGCGTCTTCGGATTCTCCTGGGTGCGTAGGGAGCCGGGACGTTTCACGTACCCTGGGATCGGCTGTCCACTGGTGTTGCACTCGTATCTTCGGCAGCCTACGCACCGCCAGCGACAGTTTACGCCCCGCTGGCATGCGGTCTTGCTGTTGGTTGCCAAGAACTCGCGGATCTCACTCAGGCGCCTCCGTCCGCACCGAAGCTTTTGTTGCATTCGTCGCACCAGATGACGAAGTTGGCGCACGCCCACACACACACACTTACACTTACAATTTTGGCGGTCGCGGCCTCAGGCACGGCGACGAGGCGAAGTGAGTCGAACACGGTGGGGACGGGCGCGCGCGGCCAGGCCCTCCAGCGGGATCCCTGTGGACCCACACACACACGTGTTCGAGCGTTCTCGGGTGGGTGACTCGCCGAACCGTCAAACGCCCGCACGCAGGCCGCGCGCGCGTCGAGCAGCCGGCCCCTGACGGTGCGGTGGCAGGGCTGCAACTGGACCGGCGGGCCAGGGCGGCGGGAGGCCGGCGGGCATCGCGCAGGATCCAATAGGATTACGCAGGCCAGATTCCGACCAAGGATATGGCAGGACCGACTCTGAACTCAACCACACAAGAGGTGCAAGCTGAGGGCAAAATGCTTCATCATCGAATCGATGAATCGGGTCGAGTCGGATTGTGTACCACATCGGTCTGCATCAGCACAGAACCAAGATCGGGTTGGATCGGCCGCGTCAGGACGCACAACACCAAGCCGCATCGGATCGTCGGAAAACCAGGATCGAATCTGACCAGGACGGCCAGAATCGACACCGAACCCAACCGATCGGATCGAAACTGACTCTGAGAGGGGGCGGTCAATGGGATCTCGAACTCAGACTGCGGCGTCGCGAATGTTTCGCGGCCGAGGTCTCCGAAGCCCTCGACTCCTTGCTTGGCCATTTGGAAAACTGATGGCGTGGCAACTCTGGTTGGAGAAAGGTTTATGCATGCAGATAGTTTGTCGGTTTGATCTCGACGTTTAGAGCAGCCACTGCTTACACCGTTGGACGCGCAATAGCAAGACGCATCAAATTGCAATCACGAGGGCGCAGAGATCCGTGCACTAGCATGAATTACCCAGGAACCGGGCTCCCGCACTGAACCGTCTCTCTTTTTGGCACCAATGCCCAACAAAGAACGGCCCCATGTAGGACGAAGAAGATGAGAAATGCGCGCTATGATGCATACGGCGTCGCGGCCTTTTTCATGGCGCGGGACCCCCGAAGTTTGTTTCGCCCAGGGTCGGCTTCTGATGGCCCAGGGGCCCGAAATCTGGCCCCGCAGGTCGAAATTGGGAAACGAGACGGCGGGGTGGGTAGAGAGGGCACTATGGCGGCAGCGGACCCTACGACACGCCATGCCGTGGAAGATGGTGGCGTGTCCCCCCTGAAGGCTGCACTCAAAGCAGAACGGGCGTTGTACCGAAATTCTCGAACGCTCGGACTGCCGATAGCGTGCCGCGCCGAAGCGCGGAGGGCCAGAACAGGTAACGCAGCACGCCAAGCAAACAGCCCTGACCGTACTGGAAGGCTTCGGGCTGTGCACAGACAGGACCCCCAGGTAGTCCCACCTGGCCTCAACTCGGGGTCGGCCAAGAGGGGGGCGTCCAAGAGGGGGGGCGCAAATCATGGCCAGCGGCATGTGCGCGGTCGGGGGGGGGGGCGGGGACGTATTGAAAAAAGACGAGGCGCCATGAAACCTGGGGAGATATCATGGCCCCGGCTATGATATCCACACACCCCTAGTCATCACCCCCCCCTTAGCCGCCCCCAAAGGTAGTCCCGCCTGGCCTCAACAAGCCTCCCGAGTATGTCGTCCGGGACGGTCTCAACACCTCAGCCCCGGACCGCCCCAGACTATACTCGGGGTCTGCTGAGGCCAGTCGGAGCTGCCTGGGCGGAAGCCTTACCAGATCGTACGTTGGCGGTCTCGGGTGATCTCGAGGTCGGCAATCTGCAGGCCCCTCCAAGGACGAAGGGTGTCCGAGGCCGATGCCAGGTGAGGCTTCCGGCGTCCAGCGCGTGCAGGTCGCGGAAGTGCTGGGTCTTGCCCTCGAATAAGATGGCACGAGGCTCTTGCTCCTCCTCCTCCTCCTCCTCCTCCTCCTCCTCCTCCCTCCTCCTCTTCCCTCAGTTTCCTACCTCCTCCTTCCCTGCCATCCTCTCGCTTTAAAAACCTTGCTGTTTTGTTGTTTCTGCAAGTTGGCTTCCTGTTTTTGTTGGTGCGGCCGGTTCTTTGCTTTTTCTGACTCTGTGGGACCTCGCTGGGCCTCGGGACCTTCAAAAAACGACTCAGGATGAAACTCTGGTCCCCGGGAAGGGTCCAGACCTCTGGGTACCCACTCGTGAAAGCCGCCACCGTGCCCCCTGGCACGTTGGGGCGTGCTAGAACACCAAATGCTGTCTGGCAGGGATTCTGCAATCTTCTAGGACCCCCCCCAGCGCTGGGCCGCACGCATCGCCCCCCCTCCCCGAGGCCAATAATGCTAAAATGCTATTAATTCGCGTTCCCGAAGCCACGACGAATCCAAGACTGCCCAGCATGGCGCCGCAGACGGTCTCAAGATAGCCTTTGAGGCCTTCGAGGCGTCCCGCGAGAGCCTCAAGGCCCCTCCCAAGAGGGCCTCGAGAGACGATAATCATTGATGTCCAGTGTTTTTTGTCATTGTTTTGCGGGCTTTTGCCTTTCCGCGCTCCCCGACGTCCCAAGCCAAGACGGCCCAAGAGGTCCCCAAGAGGGCCACAAGCCTAAGAGGGCTCCAAGACAGTCCAAAATGTGGCGAAGACGGCCTAAGAGGGTCTCAAGAAGACGCCCCAAGAGGGGGAACACGAACCGACAATTCGAGCCTTCCGCCGCAGGAGGCCCCCCAGGAGGCCCCAAGAGGCCCAACACAGGCCCCAGAGAGGCTCTAAAGAGGCTCCAAAACGGTCCCCGAGAGGCCCCAAAAAGACCCCAAGACTGCCCAGATGAGTTCCATGAGGGCTCCTCAAAAAGTGAAGACAAAAGGTGACACGTGTGACGACGTTCCTTCTTACCCTCCTCTTCCGCCTCCTCCTCTTCCTTCTCCTCGTCCTCGTCATCCTCCTCGTCATCATCCTCCTCCTCCTTGTCCTCCTCCTCCATCTTATCATCGTCAACATCAGAAATGCAGCTTCTTGCTCGCGTTGCGGGCGCAGACAGGTAGGCAGGCCCACGGGCGTAGGTTCGCCGACGCCTAGGTTCATCCTCCGAGCGGGCACGGGGTGCAACAGAGCTGCGGTTGGGCAGCCTCGCATCCCAGGCCTGCTCCGTTCGCTGTCTCTCTGGCGCTGGAAAGTGCTCGTGGCCTCCGCTCAGCGGTTCTGGAGGAGGCAGACCCAGGGGCGTAGGCTTTCGCCGACGCTCAGGCTCATCCTCCGATAGGCAAGGGGGTGCAACAAGGCATCCAAGGCCGCTGGGAAAAAAACAACCGAAAGGGCTGCCGAAGAGGCCCTCGCGGCAGCAAGGGGAGGCCATGCCGTCGGCCGCGAGCCGGGGCAGCTGAAGCTGCTGCGCGCCCAGCGGGCCAAGGGCCACCAGGCGCCCCAGGAACGCGCGGCTGCCGCCGCGGGCCGCCACCGCAATCGACGCCGCCGCCGTCGCCGCCGCTCGCAATGGAGCATGCGCGCTGTGCCTGTCTCTGGCGAGGTGCCCGCTCTCGAGGCCTTCGGGGCCTCTGCGGCTGGAAGCGCGCCTTCTGAATCGGAGTGGGACCGTGGGTGTGGGCCTTGCTGACACTCAGGATCGGCCTCCGAGCAGCCAGAGGCAATACTCCCTTCGGGGTTTTGCCGTCGGCTGCCGCCTTCTGGCAGCCGCTGCCTGGCTTGCGCGAGACGTTTCTGTCACGCGGCTGCGATTGGCCGCCGCTGGTGCGGCAGTGAGGGCGATCTTGAGCCTGGTGGTTTCTCGCGAGCGCCAATGGCACGATCTGACGCTCCGGGCGAGGCGCCGAAGGAAGCGTTTGGGCTCGGGCGGCTTTCGAGCTTGTGCTCCTGACCGCCTCTGATGCAATGGAGCATCATCATCATCATCATCATCATCATCATCATCAGCATCATCATCATCATCATCATCATCATCATCAGCATCATCATCATCATCATCATCATCATCATCATCATCATCATCACTACCATCATCATCAACATAATCAGCATCATCATAAGCAGCATCAGCATCAGCATCAGCATCATCAGCACCATCAGCATCAGCACTGCCATCATCATCCTCATCATCATCAGCATCGTCATTATCATCCTCATCATCATCAAATGCAGCATCATCATGATCAGCATCAGCATCATCATCATCAGCAGCATCATCGTCAGCATCATCATCAGCAGCAGCATCATCAGCATCAGCATCATCACTAGCAGCATCATCATCACCATCAGCATCATCATCATCATTATCATCAGCAGCATCATTGGCATCATCATCAGCATTAGCAGCATCAGCATCAGCAGCATCAGCATCATCAGCAGCATCTCCATCGTCAGCATGAACCACCGCCACCATCATCATCGATCTCATCAGCATCGTCGTCGTCGTTGTCGACCTCATCATCGTCGTCGTCGTCATCATCATCATCATCATCATCATCATCATCATCATCGTCATCAGCATCATCATCATCATCATCATCACCGTCAGCATCGTCATCATCAGCAGCATCAGCATCATCATCATCAGCAGCATCGTCATCGGCAGTAGCATCAGAATCAGCATCTCCAACATCATCATCATCCTCGTCATCAGCATCATATATGTCGTCATCATTACCATCAGCATCATCATCATCATCATCATCATCATCACCCTCAGCAGCATCAGCAGCATCAGCATCATCATCATCAGCAGCAGAATCAGTATCATCACCTCCATCTTCATCTTCATCATCTTCATCTTCATCCTCATCATCATGATCATCACCGTCACCGCTGACAAGGGTTCACAGACTTCGAACACGCATCAGAACCCTCAGACAGCCGAGAAATCACACATGACAGCGTCAAGCACCTTGATCCGGGAATCCCCTGAGACGGCGCGACAAGAAGCGCGCCATGTGTTACGGCTCTCCGAAGACTGGAGACACAAAATGTCACACGTTAGGGCCTCCGTGCTCCCTCACGCACAGAACACCGCGAAAGCTGGGCTGACAAGGCGGCGGGACTTACCACAGGCAGCGGGATGTCACGATGTCGGATGTCTGGTTTCTTTCCCTCCCTCCATACATATTCCTCATGAACAACTGCTACCATGTCGCACCACCCGACGAGTCCGTAGGCCGGGCTGGTTCTGTCCCTTGCGTCCTGGCAACCTGCAATCTTGAAATTGAAAACCACAACATCTTAAACGGATGTATGGACGGACGTTTTGTAAAGACGGGGTTCTCGCCTTAGCGCCGCGCACATTCGTGTCAAAAGCACCCAACAGTTGCACGGATGGAGGGACCGTGGTTTGCATTCGACTTGAAAGCTAGCACCTGTTAAAAAAATGGAGGGCTAGTCCTTTTCATAATGAGGCTTTCGCCTAAGCGCCGTGCACATTCGTCGCAGAAACCTGCAACACTACTGGTGGGACTCTCGCCTTCGGGCCTTGCATATCCGCCTTAAAAGCTTACAACAGCCATGAGGAAGGAGGGCGGAACGTTGCCAACATGGAGCCCTCGCCTTTGCGCAGAGCACGTTGGAACTGCAAAGCTTGCAACAGATATAAGGATGGAAGGCGATTGGTGTCCTTTATGTAGCCCTCGGTTGAGAATTCCTCAAAAGTTTGACCACCCGAAAAACCTGAAAGTAGCAGCTGAAAGGATGCAACAAGGTTCATCTTCAGAAGGACGTTTTCGCGTGAGACGTCCTCACACTGAATGGCCATACAGGCCTCGAAAAAAATAGCGAACACTCGTGCCGCTCTCATCTGTCAATGCCCCCCCCAATGTAATGATCAACGTTGAAGGTGGGTTGAATGAGCTGCACTTCAACCGCAGTCTTCCCCGTGCGTGCCAACCTGGAGTTTGGAGGAGCGGGGGCGTGTCCACTGGTTGTTTCTGTCTACCGTATGTGCACACTCGTGCAGCTGCTGCACGGACTGGGGCGGCACACGGCGCTGAAGAATACGGCCCCGCATTGCCGAGCTCCACACAGATCACTGGAAGGGTGCGAGCCACGTCCTCTCCAGAACGGGGCCCTCGCACGATTGGCAGGCCCACGGAGTGCCCGTCTTCCAAGGGGAGCGCCTCCGACAGTGAAGAGGACGGCCTGTGGGGACTCATGAGGAGGGGTCTCGGGGCGGAAGGGTATGCTGCAGCCTGGTCCTGGTCCTCCTCCTCCTCCCCTCCCCATCATCTTCTTCTAGCTTGGGACTCTAGGCACAAGAGCCTCTTCCCTGTATGGAGCCCCCTGAAACCTTCCGAGGAAAATAAACTGGAAGCCTCGCGCTGCAACTGAAGACCCAATTTACGTCGGACCCCCGTCGGATGTACGCTGGGTTCCCATCGGATCACGTCGAATGTACGTCGGAACCACCTCGGGCTCACGTCGGAGCATCGCCGCGCGAACGTCGACCCATGCCTGACGGAGCGGGCGTGTGGACGCCGCACGAGGCCCCCGGAATTTTCCTCACGGGAAGCCCGAAGTGAGGTCCACGCACACCATGCTGCCAACCCGTGGGCCTGCATCTGCGAGTTCATCCTCGGAGGAGGGCCAGCCGAGACCACGGCTGGCTCTCCCGCCCGGCTCAGATCCGCTCGAAGTCGGTCCCCGGACCCCTCCCAGAGTCCGTCCTGACCTTATCTTCGAGGCGGATCCAGCCGCGGCGACGAGAAGCCTCCGGGAGGCCCAAGCAGGACGGAAAACGCGCAGGGCCGCCGCAGTCTCTCGAGTAGGAGATCGACTACAGAACTGATCTATCTCAGAACTGTTTGTTCCGTCGGATGTTAAAAAAGTGCCATGTTCGCACATCCACAAACATTATGCGTGTTGCTTCGTAGATATGGCGAGGATTATCGATTTGGTAGTCGATCTCCTGCTCGGGTCTCGGCTGGCCCTCCTCCCGGCGCGGAGGCAAGCGAGAGCCCCTCGCAAGCCAGAGCCTGCAGGACCCGCCCCTGAAATGGCGCGAGGAGGCCCCACAAAACGCCGCGCCGGGGACGCGGAGGCGTTCGGGGAAGCTCAAACTGGGTGGACAAAAAGAAGACGGAGAAAGAGAAGACGGAGAAGAAGGAGACGGAGGAGGAGGGGGAGGAGAATGACCTCCTCCTCCTCCTCGTCCTCCTTAGCGGCATCGCCCCCCTGCGCCTGATCATCTTCCGCCTCTGAGGAAACGAAAAGATACCGATACCGCTACTCCCTGGACCTCTCGCGGGGTGCGCTCTGACCAGAATTCCGAGAATTGAGCCGTGGCGACAAGAGTTCTCCAGCAGGACGAGCACCGGAGCGGTATCTTCTCTTCCTCCGCACGATTGGCACGCCCGAAATGGGTACAGAACAAATGAGCATGCTGCCCAACAGCAAACGCTGTCCCAAACCGACAGCGGCCGCTGTTGGGCTGGCGAACTTTTGTCCCAAATGGACAGCGCCTGCGGCCTCATCCAGAGAGGACCCTGTGGAGAATGAACAAGATCTGTTGACGATCTTCGTCCACATCCCCTCCGAATCCGAATCGATCGTACCGAGGCAAGGTTCGGCGGCGCGCCGAAGAGGGAATTGAGAGGTGGTAGGCCTTCTCAGAAGAAGGCTTAGCGTCTCAGAAGCTGTCCAGCCTTCTGAGACGCCCTGTGCGGCTTCGGAGAAGGCTGAGAAAGCTACTCAGACGGCCAAAGGCCGTCTGAGCCTCCTGAGACGGCTTGTCCTCTCTCTGGCAGGACCAAAAAAGTACCGATACCGGTATTCCCCAGACCTCTGCTGGGGATGCGGTGTGACCAAGATTTCGAAACGAATCCAGCCGTGATGACAAGGGAAGGGTAGCGGCATCGGTATCAATACCTTTCCCCCCCTGCCTTTCACTTCCCCCCTCGGCGCACCGCCAAAATATCAACCGTACCGAAACCCGGTTATCAAGCGGACCGCCCGCCTTGCCACCGAAGTACTTGGATCAGCGCTGGGGGCCCAGGCGGCGCCTCCGGCGCCGCCCACGGCGCGGTCCGCGGGCCAGGAAGGGGGTACCAAAGCCGATCCAAGCAATCCGTGAGGAACGCCCAAAGTCTATGCTTCTGCTGTTCCTTTGCTCTTCGAGTGCTCGGGGGTTGCTAAAGGTGCCCCTGGCTTTGGGCTCAATTTTGGGGCCACTGCGGCCCTCTGGGCCTCGTGAGGGGTGCTCTGCAGGCCGTGGGGGCCTCCTTGGAAATCCTGGGGGCACCTTGGGCCAGGAGCACTTCTAGCAACACTTGGGCCAACGGAACCCCCCCGCCTTGCCACCGAAGTACACTATCCGGCTGCCGACGAGCGCGGCGGAGTGCCCGTACCGGGGCTCGGGGGCCGTGCCCCTGCAGTGCGGCTCGCTCCACGTGTTCTCGTCGATGTCGAGGACGAACGTGTCGTTGAGGTAGGCAAACCCCTCCTCTCGGGGGTTGCCAAAAGTGCCCCTGGCTCAGGGTGCTCCCAGGACTTCCAAGGAGGCACCCACGGCCAGGCCCAGAGCCCAGAGGTCGCTGAGCTGGGCAAGCCCCTCGGAGGCGACTATGGGGGCGAATAGCCCAGGGGGGGGAGCAATGCCTGTGTCCAGGGTCGCCGATGGTCCATGCCTTCGGCGAAGCTCCCGGGCGAGTACGTGTCGTGCCCGCCTCGCCCCTGTCGTCGCCGCCGATCCTCGGGCCGCTCCAGGCCCAGGCCTCCGGCGATAAGATGGTTGGCGGCGCTGGCAGCAGGGAAGTGGAGAAAGACAGAGGTGCAGAAGGAGCAGAAGCCGCACAGGCGCAAACTATTGGAGGTCTGCGCGGATGTCCAGGATCGGCGCTGGACCCCCTGCCGGCGCCTCTGGCGCCGCCCCTGGCGCGCCTGGGGACCGACAGACAGCGGCTTCGGGCGGCGCGCACGAGGGCGTGGGGGAGGGGCAGGGTTTCTTAGAAGGATGATGCTTCTAAGGAGGTCCCAGCCTTACATCTGCAGAGAAGGATCGCGCCTTCTGAGAAGCAGGGGTGCTTCTGAGAAGCCCTTCCCCCTCCCCTCACCCCCCTCTGCGCGCCGCCGACCATCGGTCTTCTCTGGCGATCCCCGCCAATCTTCGGCAATCTTCTGCGCTGCCCCCGATAAGCCGAGGAGCGGAGGCCGTTGAAGATCTTGCGTGTTCGGCCATGGACCTTCTGTTCCTACCTGCCCTCCCCCTTCCCCCCTCCACCTGCCCCCCCTCTGCGCGTGGCCAGACGAGGTCTCAGTCCCTGCGCTCTTTTCGGGGGAGTCCTGCAGGAGGGGGAGACGCAAAGCCTGGCCGGAGGCATGTGAGCGGCCCCGGCCGGGGGGGGGGGCTGGGGACGCATTGACATCAGAAGAGGCGCCGTGAGATCTGGGGAGATCTCATGGCTCTGGTCATGATATCTACCCCCCCCCCTAGCCACCACCCCCCTCTTGGGACGCCCCCGACATTTCCTCGATCTCGGCCCTCGGGGCCCGTCGTCGGGCCCCCGGGGCCACAAGAGATGGGCCCGGGGCGGAAGACTGCCCCCGGAGGAGGTGTCGGGGCCTCTGAGGCCGCGCAGTGGAGAAAAGCACAGCGGAGGATGACCGGCAAGTCGGCCCACCACGTCGGCGCCAGTCCGACCGCGCACGGTCTGGCCCCAACCCGCACCCCAATACCGCCGCGTCTTGCGTCACAGCGTGGGCCGCCCGGCCGCTCGACCCCTGGCCCTGGGCGTCCCCCTGGGGAAGGTGTGTTGTCGCGGGTGCGGGTGGCTGTTGCATGGCCCCCAGGTTCGAAAACGGCTCGCATAAGCCGAAACACCAACTAACACACACACACACACACAACATATACAGACACACACACATACAGATACACACACAATGTAACTAAGCACATCATACACAATGAATCACATAATATGCAAGACCAAGGTACCGTAGCATATTCACACATGACACATCGGCCCAATGTTCCTCGAATGTTCGTCACATCTCTCGCTCGCGGACGCCGACGGAAGTAAAACGAGGCGGAAGACGGCGGAAGGCCGTCGGAGGGTTCGCGGAAGACAACGGGAGTGAATGACGCCCCGTCCGAGCCCCCCTCCCCCCCGTAGAAGCCTAGCAATGTAGTATTATGCCGTGGGCCGGGCGGAATCCCGCCTAAACTATTCCTTTTAATATTATGAATAATGTTAGTTCAGCCAGGCTCAAATCCCACCCAGCAAAAATGGAAAAAAACAAATATCCCGGGTCGTTCACGGATCCCGCCCTACTAGGACCGGCTCGAAGTAAGCTTGGGCCCCGAAGTTGTAGCGTTCTTGGCGCGTCAGGGTCGTCTTGAGGTCATTTTGAGATCATATCTCGGTCATGCTTGGGTCGCGCAGCCGTCGCGTGTCCATTCTGGGGCCACCCTGGGCGCGCGTGGATCCATCTTGCTGCCATCGGGCCATCTCGGCGTCACTCGTGGCCCCATTGTTTGGTCATTTTCGGATCGGCCTGCGACGGTCCAGAATTCATGGCGGGATCGTGTTGGGGTGGCGTCGTCCCAGGGTCGGCTGGACGTTATCGCCTTTGGCCACAGGCCCTCCTGGAACCATTTTGCAGCCATGGGGGCGTCCTGGGATCGCGCGCGCGCGAGCGCTCAGCACTCGCGCGCGACAACTCGTCTCGCCGATGTGCGTACACGCATATATGTTTTGCTGCGAGTTTCCAAGGAAATGCTTGTTGGAGCCAAGTATCACCTCATAGGTTGTCCAAAAGCCACAGAAAGTGGCATTCAAGTATCCGCCACCGTGCCGCAAGGCACTGAGCCGAGTGTCCCCAAGTCCTCAAGAATCCTCAGCAATGCGAGCGTGCGAGCGCCTTAAGAGCCCTGGGCCCCCAGCTCACCGATGCCTCAGGCGTTTCTGCGTGTTCCAGCAGACCCTTTGGGCCTTCCTTCTAAACTGTTTCCTGTGGCCAGGGTCCGAAAACGTGCCAAGAGAGGGGCACCAGAGGCCCCCAAGGAGGCATCGCATCACCGATGCATCAGCAACGTGCGGTCGAATTGCATCATAAGGATGCGCGGTAGGCATGCAAAGCCCCTTAACGCACATGTTAATATGTTGAAAGAGGCGCTGGCCAGCGAAAGTGGCCACGGATAGGCCGAGGAGGCAAGGACGAAAGAGGCCCCTTCGACTACACGCAAGAGTGACCCTGGGTAAGAGTGACCTTTGGTGCGCGACTTTTGGGGGGCAGCGGAGGGGCCAAGCACAAGCGCGCAAGACGCTACTGCAGCATCGCGTTCGGCGATCGGGGGACCCCAGTGGGCCCGCACCAAAGGTCACTCCAGCGAAAGGTCGCTCTTACGTGTAGTCGACACTCTCTGGAAAGCTCCCACTCTTTATCAGCAGTCCCGGGCCCGGGAACTGCCTCCAGGCGCTGAACGCTCTGAGAACAGAAAACTTCCGCGCCAACTTTCGGAGAGCAGCTGGTGGTTCTGGGCCCAGGCGTCAGAAATAACCCTTCCACTAAGACGAAGCCAGGACGAGGATAAAACC